TTTAACTTTGAGGAACCAGTGAAAGATTTAAAATTGCTTACATAGCATCTGACTTGAGTTTTAAATAAATCATTTTAGCTGGAGCTTGGTGATAGATTTGAAATGGCAAGAAATCCAGCTGGGACTGATACCAACCAGTGGTCTTAGCCTTCCCTAATCAATAGAAATTGATAAGAGGCTAGTCAAGAAATTCAGGTAAAGCTTGGCCAGTGAGTAGGGGTGTGTCTAGGTGCCAAGAGGGGTGGCTTTAGGTGTTTTGCCCACCCCTTTGGTGGTGGTCAAATGGCCAACATCCGTTGGATCATCAAAAAAACAAGAGAGTTCCAGAAAAACATCTGCTTTATTGACTACTGCAAAGCCTTTGACTGTGGGTCACAACAAACTGGAAAATTCTTAAAGAGTTGGGAATACCAGACCACCTTATCTGCCTCCTGATAAATCTGTATGCAGGTTAAGAAGCAACAGTTAGAACCAGACATGGAACAACAGACTGGTTCCAAATCGGGAAAGGAGTACCTCAAGGTACTCCATGCTTATTGTCACCTTGCTTATTTAACTTCTATGCAGAGTACATCATGTGAAATGCCGGGTTGGATGAAGCACAAGCAGGAATCAAGATTGCCGGGAGAAATATCAGTAACTTCAGATATGCAGATGACACCACCCTTATGGCAGAAAGTGAAGAGGAACTTAAAAGCCTCTTGATGTACATGAAAGAGGAGAGTGAAAAAGCTGGCTTAAAACTCAACATTCAAAAAACAAAGATCATGGCATCCAGCCCCATCACTTCATGGCCAGTAGATGGGGAAACAGTGGAAACAGTGGCAGACTTTCTCTGCTTGGGCTCCAAAATCACTGCAGATGGTGACTGCAGCCATGAAATTAAAAGACGCTTGCACCTTGGAAGGACTGATTTTGAAGTTGAAACTCCAATGCTTTGGCCACCTGATGCGAAGAACTGACTTATTTGAAAAGAGCCTAATGCTGGGAAAGATTTCAGGCAGTAGGAGAAAGGGACTCAGAGAATGAGATGGTTGGATGGCATCACCAATTCGATGGACATGAGTTTGAGCAAGCTCCAGGAGTTGGAGATGGACAGGAAAGCCTGCCGAGTTGCAGTCCATGGGGTCGCAAAAAGTCGGACACGTCTGATCAACTGAACTGAACTTAGTGGTGATGAGTGCAGGAGGCATGTGCAGTACCCTGTTTTTGCTCTTCAGAAGTGGCACATGGGTTTTTGGTCTTTTTGTGTCTTGTCCAGAATTTGCCCCAACTGCACGTGTATTGTTGTTATTGAGTTGCTAAGTTGTGTTCTACTCTTTGTGACCCCGTGGACTGCAGACTCTAGGCTTCCTGTCCTCCATTATCTCTCAGAATTTGCTCAGATTCATGTCCGTTGAGTCAGTGATACTATCTTACTGTCTTCATCCTCTGCTGCTCCCTTCTCCTTTTGCCTTCAATCTTTCCTAGTATTAGTCTTTTCCAATGAGTCAGCTCTTTGCATCAGATTACTAAAGTATTAGAGTTTCAACATCAGTCCTTCCAGTGAATATTCAGGTTTGATTCCCTTTAGGATTGACTGGTTTGATTTCTTTGCTGTCCAGGAGATTCTCAAGAGTCTTCTCCAGCACCACAATTCAAAAACATCAATTCTTCGGCACTCAGCATTCTTTATGATCCAACTGTCACATCTATACATGACTACTGGAAAAATCAGAGCTTTGACTATATGGACCTTTGTCTGCAAAGCCATTTCTCTGCTCTTTAATATGCTGTCTAGGTTTGTCATAGCTTTTCCTCCAAGACATTTGTGCATGCATGCACACAGTTATTTTTAGTTCCATATAGTTTCTTCATATTTTGTTGCTTAAGGAGGCATTTGTCCAGGTGCAGGCATTGCAGCAAAAGGTCCCAGGACCCAACCTGTCTTAGGACAGGGACCCTCTCCCTTGAAATGTCTCCTGGAGGCTGGTGAATTCCTTAAATTGCATTCCAGACTTTTTGCATTTTTTTATGAGTTAAGGATCTATCACTTTCATCAATAATGAAAAAGTATTTCTATGTAACCATAGTCTAGAACAATGCAGGCCCCGTTTGATTCATGAATGGTATAATCTACAGATGGTAGAATCAGTGCGTCTTGGGTTTAACTGGATGTGGGGCAGGAGGACAGTGAGGGGTCGGTGGTTTCTCACTTTCTACCAGAAATAATGTAATTTACTGAAAGGGAGAGGAGCAGGTGTAGAGGGGAAGATAGGTTCTGCTTTAGGCATTTCTGCCTTTGATGAGCCTGTGCAACATCCAAGTGGCAGTATTTTTGGCCTCATTTTTATGCATGAATAATTCAGAGACGAGAATGATTTGCTTAATTAAGAACATGCATCAAAATAGTGGCAGATATCAAAGGCTTTCATAAGTGCTTTCCCCCTACAGCTTCTAGACTAATGATGAAAAAAGAAAGTCTTAAGGAGTTGCCAAGGCCTTATGATGTAGTGACTTTCAAATCATTCTGGTATTCTAGGGGTTTGAATAGATGCTTTGGGAATCCATAATAATACTATCAAATTTTCAAAAATCATTAAAATTGATATATATAGAGAGACTTGAAATGTAATGTGCTTAAATGTGCTATACAACAACATTTTAACCCATCAGATTATGGTACTTTATGCTGCTAGGGTAACCCAGTTTGGGGCAGACTTTGGAATAAGACGCTCTTGCCTTCTCTAACGGAAAACTATCCTGCAATGGCGAAGCTCTCGTTGGCAACAAAGTTATCCAACAAATCACCCACCAAAGCTTTCTCAGTAGTCTCCTTCTTTTTACTCTTAGGCTCTCTCTGTAGCTAGTTCCCTGCCCAGCAGCCAGTCACGTTTCTAAAACAGAAATCTGATCGTACCACCCGACTGCTCTTTGAAACCTTCCAGAGTCTTCCTGTGAAACCCAGAATAAACCCCAACTTCTGTTGTGGCCTGCGAGGTGTTCTGTGGCTCTGTCTCGCCTGCCGCGGTCCCTCCGCCTCCTGTTCTTAGTCGCCCTGGCGTCTCACTGGTCCTCACGTCAAATGGCATCCCTCAGGACCTCTGCACTTGCCGTGTCCTCCATTCACAGTGCTTCTCCTCCACGTCGTGTCCGCTCCTGCTTCTCTCAGGTCTTAGCTCTCACCTCCTCAGAACATCTTTTTTTCTGTCCCAAAGAATCACCCCTTCCTTTGATCGCTATCTCCTTAACTTGCTTTAGTTCCCCTTAGAGCAATGATTATCTCCAAATAATGTGTTTGATACTTGGTTTTCACGTTGGTCTGGCTACTCCCTGTAAAAATGAGCTCCCCGGACTTCCCTGGTGGTTCAGGGGTTAGGGCTCCATGCTCCCAGTGCAGAGAGGCACGGGGTTGATTCCTGATGGGGGAACTAAGGTCCCACACAGAAAAAAATGAAATTAATTAAAAATAAATAAAAAATAGGTTCCCTGAGGTCAGAGACTTTATCTGTCTTATTCACTGGTGTAGTCCCAGCAGCTGGTAGGTGCTCGCTGACCACTGAGGAAAGAATGAATGAATGAATGAGTTGGGTGTTCTTGCTACTCCACAAATGAAGCAAAAATATAGACATAAATTGGATGATGGGGCTGATCAAAATGCTTGGGCTCAGGAGTCAAGTCTAGGGTCAGATGCTTGTGAGTGGACTTGGTGGTGGGGGCAGGGAGGGGAGTCTCTCCCGATTCACTGGGAGAAACTGTTCATTGGAGAGGGACATTCACTGATTTACTTATTCTTTTCCTTCATCAGGTACCCTGTTTTTCTGTCAAGAGTTGACCATGTCAGAATGAAAGGAAGCTATCTTTGCAGACTGCTGTCTGTGGAACCTTTGAAGACGGTAGAATAGTATTCGATTCTGCAGTAAGCAGACCCCTTTTTCCCTCTGTAGAGTCAGTCTTTAGTAAACATTTGTTAGTTTCTCGAATTCATACGTTCTCCTGAAAGATGGGTCACAGTTCCCTCATCTGTGAAAGGTGGATTCTAACCTCCCTTCTGTGAACCCCTTTGGGGGTTGGGGGCAGAACCCAGCAGGATACAGCAGCAGGCAGACCCTCAGAGAACACTTGGATCAGACTCTGGGTGTCTCCAGATGCTGTGAGGATTAAGTGAGACACTGTGAAAGCACTTGAACTATGAAACATTTCTCTGGCCAGTTCATCATTGTTCAAGTATAATATGCTTGCTCCTATGAAATGGTCAAGGATAAATAGTTCATTAAAGATCTACATAAGGCTGACTCTGGGATATTTAGGTCACCTCCTTCCTGGCCTTACTGGAATGAGGTGAGAGGTAGCACCTGACATTATCGTCATGTCTGCCTTTCCCTAAACATAGTTTGCGACTTTAAGAAAAATGCACCAAACCCCAGAGGCATCAGTGCTTTCAGTTTTTGGCCCTGCTGTTTACAGAACAGGAAGTGGAGACGGTAACTGATCTCAGAATCTTGGTTGATAAACTAGTATGTCACATATTTTACTAACGTCTGGGCTTGATTAAAGAGAAGGCAGGCACTTGACTATTTTGAGGACTAGATGACAGGTGTCTGGTACTTCTTTTTTGTGTGTGTGTGTGTGTCTGGTACTTCTGATTGGTGCTTTTCATACTTCTAGAGACGACAAAAAGATTCCTACCTTTCAGGTTCACTGGGTTAAAACTTTGTGATTCAAGAAAAGAATAAGAATGAAATAGGGGGCCGGGGCGGCGGCGGGCGGGCCTCACCATCAGTACCAGCTCCCAAAAAAAGAAAAAAAAAAAAGAATGAAATAGTACCCAAATTTTGTGGGTTGGCGGGAAATAGTTATGTTTTAAGGAAAAGGAGTATACCAGGGAAATGGGAGGAATTGGTGGTTATTATTTAATTTTATTCCTATTATGTGTAAAGAGATTTAAAGTTGCTTCTCTCCATATATCTAAACAATGCTTGCTCTTACAGAGGAGCCTGTGGATCAAGCTATGGTGGAAGATGTTTCGGAAAGGCAAAAAGCGCCACAGCAGTAGCAGTTCCCAGAGCAGTGAAATCAGTACCAAGAGCAAGGTAGGTGGTGGAGTGGAGACCGCGGCCATAACAGTGAGAACTGTTTCTTCTGAGCAATGGTGCGTGAAAGGTACTAAGTATGGCAGACCTGTGATGTTCTTCAAACTGGGGATTTTAAATTTTTTTTTTTGCACAAGATACATCCTGTTTGGTTTAATTTTATTTTGTTTTGGTAGATTTTTCTGATGTCCTTAAATCCACTAATGTAGATGAATTGGGACCTGTGAGAGGTCTCATTGAAACACTGGTCAAGGAAATTGACAGGCAGTCAAGGAACTGGATGTCTTGAATTCTAGGGCTTGAGGTGTGTGTGTGTCATTATAATTCTGTGTCCACGACGGGGAGTGAGTTGGAGAGTGAGGCAGATGTGCTGATTTGAGTGTGCAGGGTACTCAGAGTCCCGAGTCCTGGCCCACTGGGCCCACTGGACTAGGACTAGAAAACTGAAACTGAAGTTGCTCAGTTGTATCTGACTCTTTGCAACCCCATGGACTGTAGCCTTCCAGGCTCCTCCGTCCAGGGAATTCTTCAGGGCATACTGGAGTAGGTTTCCATTTCCTTCTCCAGGGTATCTTCCCGACCCAGGGATTGAACCCGAGTCTCCTGCATCGCAGGCAGATGCTTTACCAGCTGAGCCACCAGGGAAGCCCCCAGGACTCGAAAGCCTTTTTAAAATCATTCCTCACCCTTGTGAGCTCCCAGTTGTGAAAGGTGTCTGTGCCCAGAACCTGGACTGGGCGAGGCAGGGGGCAGGAGAGGAGCCCAAGGCCCAGCACCTCCAGGAGGTGCCTCTCCCCAGCCTGTGGGCAGCGCCCCGGGTGAGGATAGCACACTCAGGGAAGAACACGACCCCACTGCCCTGCAGGAATTTCCATCCAGCGGCAGGGCTGAGCTCTCAGCATGTAGCCCAAACCACGGAAACCTGACATTTTCAGAGTCCTGTGCTGTCTGGGAATGGGGTGACTAAGTTTTTCTTTAAGGCATCTAAACTCCTGAAGCTCGTCGAGAACCGCCCCGCTGTTAGCTCAGTGTGAGGCCCGCATGCTTGAACTGGGCCCAGTTTGCTGTTTTCTAGATCAGAAAATGGAGAAGGGGAGACGCATGGACCTGCTGGTGGCCGAGTTGGACCAGAGCTCGTGTGCCGATTGCTCAAGGACCTGCTGCCCCGTCAGGGTGGGGGTCCAGAGGGGTGCAGGAAAACCCGTGCCCTGGAGCGAGGTCTTACCCCCAAGTGACGGGGAGTCTCGTGTGGCTTCTCTGCAGGCCTGTGTCCGTTAGACGTGTGCTCTAGAATGAAGTAAGCTTCTGTTCTTGTCATTCAGAACCAGGGGAAATAGGCCACTTTCTCCCTTCCCTTCCTCCTTGCTCAGGGGGTTGCTAGGTTCTGGCCTTCTCCTGCGTGCGGGGGTAACTGGAAGCACAAAAGCTCACTCTGTTACTCCCTTCCCAGAAGGCAGCCTGACTCTGTAACAGCATCTTAATTCCAGGTCCCCTTCCTTCACTCTTTGAATATTCGGGTTTCTTCCAGGTTGTCAGGACCACACAAACATGATGATGACCGTCTCTGTGCATACAGCTCTTATTTGAAAGTGAAAGTTGCTCAGTCATGTCTGACTCTGCGACCCCATGGACTCTACAGTCCATGGAATTCTCCAGGCCAGAATACTGGAGGGGTAGCCTTTCCCTTCTCCAGGGGAATCTTCCCAACCCAGGGATCAAACCGAGGTCTCCCGCATGTGGATTCTTTACCAGCTGAGCCACAGGGGAAGCCCAACGTGATGATGACCCTTTCTGTGCACATAGCTCTGCTCTTGTTTGAGATTCCCAGAAATGCAGTTATTAAGAAAGGGAAGAAATAAAACTGAAGACTTGATACATTTTTACATTGATTTTGATTCACTTCTTTTTTTTTTTTTTTTTTTACCGTTTCACAATCTCTACTTTTATTGCCTAATTAGATTTTATTTCCATCTGGACAGCTTACTTTTTATTGGTGCGTGACGATATGATTTGTTTTTTTGTTTTTCCTTCTGAACCCTGGATGAAAAGAAAACTCAGTTCTGGGAGGGATTGTCAGATAAGGGTACAGACTATGGTGAAATGGTGCTCGGTATCCTCAAAAAAATTAGCAAAATCAATCCTAGAAGATCCCTTATTTGCCCTCTTGCTAGTTAATAAATAGACTGCTGGGGAAAGGAAGGAATAGATTCAAGGGCAAAGAAGGGTCCAGATGGGATGAGGAAAGCAGGGACAGGCGTGTCTACCCCACTCTCTCCTGCTCTCACTTAGACCTATCCTCTAAATAAAGTAGTAGCAGACTTTACTGCTAAGTCACTTCAGTCATGTCCGACTCTGTGCGACCCCATCCCTGGGATTCTCCAGGCAAGAACACTGGAGTGGGTTGCCATTTCCTTCTCCAATGCATAAAAGTGAAAAGTGAAAGTGAAGTCGCTCAGTCATATCTGACTCTTCGAGACCCCATGGACTGCAGCCCACCAGGCTCCTCCATCCATGGGATTTTCCAGACAAGAGTACTGGAGTGGGGTGCCATTGCCTTCTCCGGGTAGACTTCAAACTACTACTAAAGAAGTGGTCCTCCAAAGGATTTGAGAAATCCTGCCTCAGCCTCTGGAGTAGCTTTTCTTGATTCACTTCTTAAACACCTAAAAATTTGACTGTACTTTTAAAATTTAATTTGATTTGAAGTGTAAAAAAGTGATTTTTTTTTTTTCTTTTTGGCCGACCCATGGAGCTTGCGGGATCTTAGTTCCCCAACCAGGGATCAAATCTTGGCCCCAGCAGTAAAAGTGCTGAGCCCTAACCCCTGGCCCACCAGGGAATTCCCAAAAAGTGATTATTTTTTTTTAATCAAAGGTTTTTACTGTTATTTCTAAAAAATTAAGCATACTAAGAGTATGATACTGTAGAACAAACTACATTGACACGTATGATTCTTTGAATTTTGCTGAACAATTTCGTTGGTTTTTCTTTGTAATTCACATCATAGTTATTCTCTGGTCTGCCGCTTTACCTGTGTTTACCTGCTGGGGCCAGGTAGTAGTTGGAGGCATTGTGTTACTGGGGTGAGGGTCAGGAGACGTGGGGTTGAGGTCTGGGGTGAGTAGACGGAACCTTGGGCAGATCACTTCACCACTCTGCGTCTCCACTCATTTACTAAACAGGAGAGCACTCCCTGCCTGCATTCTGCACAGAGTTTTTCTTGGGTTCTTTGGAAATAATATGAAAGTGAAGTATAGATTTTAACATACAATGTGAAATCTCAAGTCTCAATACGATGTAAATATCAACTCTCCTATAAGGCTATAGAGGTAATGGCTTTAATTTTAAAAAGTGTTGATTCCAGACATGTGTTATGGGAAGAGCAGTTGGGATTATGTTTGTTTGTTTTTTTTAAGTTTGCTATGGAATTTGTCTTCAAAATAATCTGTCATAGTCGATCTGCATAAATAACTGACCTGATTTTATATGTGTTAATTCAGTGATAGTAAATAAGTCATTTGAATGTTTGGTAGAGAATTTGAAAGAAAATAGTGCTTCTAATTATGTTTAAAATGTTTGTGTTTGTTTGTTTGATTGTTATTTCTTAGTCTGTAGACTCCAGCCTTGGCGGGCTCTCACGGTCCAGCACCGTGGCAAGCCTTGACACCGATTCCACCAAGAGTTCAGGTATGGACGGAGGTGGGATCATTTATCATCTTGGGCATTTAACTGAAGTTCACATGGTTTTACCAGAGTGGACAAGGAGTTCTTGACTATTTGGGGTTTTCTTTCTCTGCTGTGTTATTTTTGACAAGAGTTTAGAAATGGTCCAGGATCTGGTGGAAGGTGGGTTGTGGTAAGGAATGGGTGGTGAAAGCCACGGGAGCAAACTGCTTGTTAACGGTTGTGGAGCAAAATTATGTGTGGCTACATGGTGGTGACAGTTTAGAAGTATTAGAATAGCTTTGTTAAGAAGTGGGCTGGCGTAGGGCGAATTATTTTGGAGTTACATTGTTCGCAGGGGGTGGGACAATGTCCTGCTGATTAAAAAGACTAAGGAGCCTTGTACCCAGAGATGTACCAGCTGGTTAACATCAGGAGCACACAGTTATAAGCAGGGGTCTGTCACTGGCCCTTGGAAACATTTATGCAGCCTCCTGAAAGGAGTAGCTCTCTAGAAATCAAAGGTGGCTTCCTACCCACCTATTAGCTGATGTCTAATTGGAAACCGACTACATTCATTTTGTTATACAAAATCCTTCTACTTCTTTTGGGATCACAAACAACTCAGTCCATGCAAGGTGGTGAGAGTAGGAGAGGTGGAAAGGGGGATATGGTAGCATAAGGTCTGTTGTCTTTACTTCCAGATGCTTTGAAATATTAAAAATGTGGGCATCTTTGTATTACATAAACATGATCTAAGAATGACCACATAGTATTCCCTTACTATGTCAGATGTCGTAAATCCTTTGTGGTACCTTGTACTGGCTGGACTTTATGGCACATGGAGTTCTTCACCTGTTACCATCTGGTCCTGTCTGGCATTACTCCACCTACACTGGGGGAAAGAAAGCCTGGTCTTTTCTGGCCGAATGGGAGAGAGAGATCAGGTTTCCTGAGTCAGGAAAGAAAAAGTTCACATGGGAAAGTGGGAGAAGAAACCAAAAAAATGATCAAATGTCATATGCATTATAAAGGTGCTCAATCATTGTCAAGTTGACATTTTAGTTTTCTTCTTTTTGAAGAAGTGAAGGCTATTAATACTTAATTTATTCCTACTGAGATCTTACATATTTAGTACATTGTGAGCCACTGAGGAAAACGTTAGTGAAAATTCAAGTTCTTTCCCATTGCATCAAAAAGTTTGCATTTAAAAATTTTTAATTTTTATTAAAGGTTTAGTTCTAATGATAGTCAATTTCCTGTATGGGGAGGGGTTAAAGATACCCTGTAATGCAGCTGTTTCTTTTGAAGTCTTATGATTTTCCTTTTACCTTTAGGACAAAGCAACAACAATTCAGACACCTGTGCAGAATTTCGAATAAAGTATGTTGGTGCCATTGAGAAACTGAAACTCTCAGAGGGGAAAAGTCTCGAAGGGCCACTGGATCTGATAAATTATATAGATGTTGCTCAGGTAAAAAAAAAAAATAGTTCTATTTTCTCAGATTCTGGGGTGAATTTGTGGCTTTGGAGAGAGACGACACTCTCTTCACTGCTTCTCCTGAAGCCACGCTTTTATCACTGTTAAGATGTCACTGAGCACTGTGGTCAGAGGAGGGACCCGGGGACCGAGTCACAGAAGAACACGGGGACTTAGTTCCTTCCTTCAAACAGTGGTTTTTTACTCTTTCGGGGCTGACTGAGGACGTCTCTTTGTTTAAAGGGGGAGCTGAGCACAGTGAGTGAGTGCACACTCAGTTAGTGTGTGCACTAAGGCTTATCTTTAGAACACTCCAGCAAATCTTAACTGTGGCTCCATGGAACTATTTTCAGTTATTCGAGTGAGCAATCTCATTCATGGTGTTGAACTCCCATATCTCTCTATTCATACCCTATCTCCAACAAGGATTGAGGTGAGGTGGGTTTTGAAAATATATCCCAGTCGAGAAAATAAAAGAATAAATTCATCATGAAGGAAAATTTAGAGTGAAAATGAAGACAAAGGTGTAAGGTTTGTGCATAAAGTATTGTGAGGTCGGTACTCTTTATCAGTGAAGGGAGTGGATGAGCTGGAAGCCTGAACACTGTCCACAGTCAGTTGCTCCCCGAGTCTCTAGAAGATGGAACTGCCCATCTTTGTGTTCATGAACAAAGGGATATTACTGCAATGGGAAGGTTCCCTTACCAAATTTATAGAGTGTTGGTCACTTTTAAGATCATGTGGTCTCTTAACACATGGAGGCGAGCTTGTTTCACATGTCGTTTCATGTCCTCCTAAAGAAAGTCTCCTGTCTGAGAAGAAATCAGCCAGTCTAATCCGCTGTTGACGAGGCAACTAACACGATTATCCCAGCATTTTACTTTGGAATCTATACAGTCATTCCAACATCGTGCAAGCAACAACTAATAGTCTCCTGAAAGGTTGCTGATAATGCTCCCCCCCGCCTCCCCACAAAGTATGCTAGGATTATTTTCACACCGACAGGGGCTGCTGTCTCTCACAGCACTGTAAACTTGGGCTTGTCAGAACTCCACAACTGTAGCATTGCATGGATTCTTGGAGTTCCCTTACCCTGTGAGAGAGGTGATAGGCATGAGGGTAGGCTTGCGTGTGAGGACCCAAGAACTAGGGTAGGTGGACACCGCTCAGGACTGTAATTTCTTCAGTGCAGGCGAACGGTTCCACAAAAACGTTGACTGTGTGGAACATCTGCTGATGGTTGACAGTATCGTTTTTATTTTAGAGAAGACAAGTCAGGCGCACTAAGCAGATGAAATGTGATAATCTGCTAGGAAAACCATCAGGCATTATCTGCTGTCCTCTTTGTTTCTGAAGAGTTCAAAATACTGATGGATGTTTTCAAGAGCCGAAAAACCATTTGTCAAGCTGTGTTTATTTGCCCAAAGCCCTGGGACACTGGAATAACCAGACATATCGACACCTGGGTAGGATATAAACCAGTTGAGAATGGTTCCTACAGTGTGTTTCCTATTATTTAACCTGCTGACGTTACAGTAAACTTTGAATAAGGAGCCTTACATTTTTCTAGTGTAAATATATAAGCCCCACTGGTATCTGTGAGGAGTGTCAGTTTACAAACATTAACCATGGGGCACATGGATCTGAGTTCTGGTCAAATTTGTGGACTTCTTACTGGAAAAAAAAAAAAGTGAGGGGTATTTCTTATGCCTCTTTGGAGAGAAGAGGGCTGTGCCCCCACATTCTTTAAAGGGTTTGGGTTTGCGATGGCCAGATGCTAAAATTGACTAATCAGAATCAAGAATGAAACATAATTTTTTAAAATGTAATTTATTTTTACTTTAAAGCAAGATGGAAAGTTGCCCTTCGTTCCGCTGGAGGAAGAATTTATTATGGGAGTTTCCAAGTATGGTATAAAAGTGTCCACATCAGATCAGTATGTAAGTAATTTAATTAAAGGAGAAAATGGGTTTGGGGAGTTCAGACCAGGAATGGCCTTCTTGTAGTTAGATCTGCCCTTGTTTGCAGAGTGGTTGGTTTTTCGTCATTCCTGGCAGCTGGCCTTGAAAGTGACCAGTTTCCTAGGGTAACTGATTAGAGGCTTTTGCTTCTGTGTCGGGCCCAAGCCAGGGCCTCCCAGGTGGTGCTCGTGGCCAAGAACCCACCTGCCAATACAGGAGATATAAGACACGAGGGTTTGATCCCTGGGTCGGGAAGATCCCTTGGAGGAAGGCTTGGCAACCCGCTCCAGTACTCTTGTCAGGAGAATTCCATGGACAGAGGAGCCTGGCTGTAGTCTGCAGGGTCTCAAAGAGTCAGACACAACTGAAGCGGTTTTTTAGCAAAGCACAGGGCCCAAGCCCACCCCCCCCCCCACCCCACACCCACGGCTGGTCTGTCATGCATTTTTAGCTTAGGACCCCACACCAATTCAGAGCAGCTGTCAGCTGGGTGTAGAAAACAGGGCCGTGAATTTAGATTGTCTCAGTCTTCCTAGAACTTACGTAGGAAGGCATGATTCTAAAGGCAAATTGGCCCCTAACCGAGTTCACTGGAAGGTCCCTTTTGGTGAAAAGCCTGTAAAAACTATGTTCAGCCAGATAGATCCATTGATGGGCATGTTCTGTTTAAAGCCTCACGGTAAATTCTGCCCTGGAAAATGTGGACATGTGAAGAAATAGCATGGTCCTTCTTCCCCTGACCTCTGCAGGATGTTCTGCATCGGCACGCTCTGTATTTAATCATCCGGATGGTGTGTTACGACGACGGTCTTGGGGCAGGAAAGAGCTTACTGGCTCTGAAGACCACAGATGCGAGCAACCAAGAATACAGCCTGTGGGTTTACCAGTGCAACAGCCTGGTAAGGTTTTCAGTCTCTTTGGTTATAGGTCTCATTCATCAAACCAAGTGGTAAAACCAGATTCTTTAGATTTTTCAAAGGCAGAAGAGATGCTGTCTGCCACGTTGTCTGATACCTGGCATAACAGGGGAATGCGTGTATCAGATGGCAGGTCAGCCAGCGGACCAGCCTACTGCAGGCAGTGAGCTGTTAGCCCAGAAGCAGCACTCGTGCCTCATGAGTGAATGCAAAGCAGGTGAGCGGAAGGGGTGTGTCCTCCACGGGCAGCCCCGCTTTCCTGCACCTCGTGGTCCTGACTCGTGAGGGTCCCTCCCAATGGCTGCGGTCCTGTGACCGCGTGCAGTTACTAAAGGGGCCCAGGAGGTGGTGACCCAGGCAGGCCGTGTCCTGGACGTCCCCACACTGGCGGTGTGTAGGTTTAGGACAGGTGTTAGGAGGGTCTGATCTAGTTGGGGAACAGACTTACTAATTCTTTTACTGTATCTTTTCACTTAATGTAGGAACAAGCACAAGCAATCTGCAAAGTTTTATCCACTGCTTTCGACTCTGTATTGACTTCTGAGAAACCTTGAATTCTGCAAGGGGGAAGTAAGCTTCATGTTCAAATTCAGCTGTTTTCTCAATAGTTTCTGTTTCCAGTCTGCAGTGTTGAACTGTTACGGAAATATGAGCAATCTTTTGCTCTCGATTTTCTGAAGAAAATGCAGTGTATAAAATACCAGTGTATAAAATACCAGTCATTTGTTTTTCTAGTAAAATGTGTCTTATTTAACAGCAAATTAACTCATTGGAGTTACCTACCTACTGAGACTAAAAGAGCAACGTCATTTGTCGCTTTTAGACACAAATAAGCCTGAAAACTTTTATGTGCCACAGAAGCACCCTAGGTGAGTAAGGAACATGGAGAACTTTCTGAGGAAGACCCAGGCCATCTGTCCTGCAGCACTGGCTGGCGATGCAGTCTCACCAGCTCGGAGCTCTAATCAGGCAGAGGTCTGGTCCAGGGACCCACAAATCATGCTGGTTTGAAATAGTGATGCTGTCAACTCAAGTCACAAAAAGGGAAACTTTAAAAGGTGTGTTGTCAGGATAACTTGTTAGCAAACCACAATATAAACCACAGTAATTATCTTTGAAAACCCTCAAAGATTACTGATCATGTTAGAAGTCCTACACTGTGAAGAATTTCATGTTCAGTAGACTAGTGTATTTTTTTTAAAAAGACTTTTTATATACAGTGCTTTACTAAAGACTAAAGGGGGCTTCCCAGGTGGCACTAGTGGTAAAGAACTTGCCTGCCAATTCAGGAGACGGAAGAGACGTGGTAGTTCGACCCCTGGGCTGGGAAGATCCCCTTGAGGAGGGCATGGCAACCCACTCCAGTATTCTTGCCTGGAAAATTCCATGGACAGAGGAGCCTGGTGAGCTACAGTCCATGGGGTTGCAAAGAGTCAAGACATTACTGAAGCAACTGAACACTCAAAAGATTAAAAACATGAAAAACACCATGTCCATTTAAAAGTATTTTATTTTTTTCCAGTCAGATGACTAGTTAACAAGAAGAGTAAACTTATTAAACATGCTCTAATTAGGACAATGAAAATAACTGATTTAGGTTATACAATATATACAGTTGCGCTGCAACTAGACGGAAATAATCGAGTGAATGAATTGAATATCATACATCTCAGATAGCATCCAGGCTGCAGTCGTGGTTCCCACCCTTCACAGATCACACGCTAACCATTAGTCCGTGGACAGATTTCTGAGTTGCCATCCCTAGAGGTCAGACCTGATGGAGGATGGCATGCCAAATGCCAGAATCCTGCAGCTGAGGTCACAAAACGTAAACTTTAAATATAAATAGTTTATCTACAGTGTTTTCCTTTTTCTCAGTTGCTTTTTTTTTAATTTGCAAAGAGCAAATAACTAGGAAAGGACATCATTAGTAGGGAAGTTAATATAATTTCTCCTCCGGCAAGAGTAATATTAATTACTGCACAATAGCACCACCAAATTGTAGACTGGGAAAATATTTCCTAGATATTTATGTATGTACCAGTGAACCTGATATATCAGTTTGGGACTGGTGTTCCACTGTTGATATGGATCAACATTAATTCCTTATATAGCTGGCACCAAGTAGGCAAAAGGCTGATTGATTATAAGGTACAGATGTGGGAGGGCTGTGCTAAAATATACATATGAAGTGCACTGTGCAAAACATCTGTTTATGTTCTTCAATCTATGAGAGAATTAACTAATGAAGGGTTCAAAAACAGAAATGAACAATTAGTGAAAACAGATGTAGTGCTTAAAAAAAAAAGAAATAAAGACTTTAATTACAGATCTAACACATTTTTACCCGGAACTTTGAAAGGCAAAAAACACAATTGCCATACAACATCATAAAACATTCCAGTTTGTTCTGTCTTCCTTTATAATATCAATGAAAAAAAAAATACAATGAAATTAAAAAAAAAAAAAGCTCTACACTCAACAAGAGTCTTGCATAATAAAGACAGGCTGCTTCAATCAAATGTACCATCATGACATGCAGAAACAGCATCGTCGCCTTGCTTTCCAAGCCTATCCTTAAATTTACCGCTTTTGGTAAAAATCTAAGTGGGCATTATATGCCTATTTATTCTCAGAGAGCGCCAAATTTTTCGACATACCTACTCTGAATCTTACACCCACCATGACTAAGTAGAGGTATGATAGTCAAGTTCATTAAACCTAATGAGTGTTTATTTTATCGTATACAACCTAACCCCCACCCCCCTGCCCCTAGTAGCTTAAGTTTAAGAATGATATGATGGACTTCAACAGGAAATCCGGATGTCTGGGGTTATTTTATTACCTGGGACCTACAGATTTCTGATATGTTCGTGATTACAAACAAGTGGACAGATTAAATTGCAAGACAGTGTAACTACCATTCCTGTTGGTATATTCTATGAATACAAGACACTAAATCAAGGAAACATTCTCTCGAGCTAGAAGGGAAGGCAGCGGTACACTCAACAGGAAACAGCGAGGACTCGGTGATGGTACTCTGGCTGCAACCAGGGGGCTCGAGAAAGCGAATCCCAGGACACCTAAAGCGTATAAACTAGCTTGAAGAACCGTGTCGCAATCCGTCATCTTTAGTTTTCAACCGAATTCAGGAAATGCAGTTTTATACAATCTGGAGCTGACGTATGCCATAGCAAACCATCCCTAGTTGGCTTAGGTAGGCTTGTTCACAATAGTTTACACACTCATGCAGGATACAATGACAGCTGCAACCTCACACACCAGGTGCTGGAAAATACAACGCTTATGTATACACTCCCAAGTTGCTTTAAATAAATGTCGGGTGGATTTCAAAGGAAATCTTTCAAGGTATCCTTTTTTTTTAAAAAAAAAAAAAAAGTCTTTAAAGGTGAACTGAAGCACTTTATCTAGAAAGTGCAGATTAGCTGCAGAATTGGAAAGCAAAAGTTCACCGGCTTTCTAAAAAGAATAACTGTGCTAAAGGTCACCAACTAAAGAAATGGGCCAAGAAAAGCAGGATGCATTTCTTCCCAACACTCCAAACTACTTTGAGGTTCAGCTAATGCTGTAGATTCAGGCTTGATTATGTAGTTAAAATCACTTTTCAGGAAAAAAAAAAAAAATCACTTTTCAGTTCACCTCTTAGGAAATTGAGTTTTTCCTAATAAAAGTATAGCAATGTTTCATGAAAAACACAAAATATAAAAACAATTCATTGATATATATATATAAATTGCCTTTTGAGTTTATAAAGCAGAACAGTGGCATTAGAGAAAGTGGGTAGGGTACAAGTCATGAGACAGGTTATCTGGCAAGAGTACTGGTACCAAAAATGAAACAGGACATGACTTTTAAAAGAAGTGTTTTTCTTCAGTAGCAATTCAGTCAGCAATAAAGTGCACAAAAGACACCGGAAAAGCTCCCTTGCGACTCGGATCTCCGTCAATGTGGCCGATCTGAAACGAGTACATGGTTAGGTGGTTATAAAAATTTCCAAATGCTGGAAACTCTGAAGGGCATTTTAGCATTTGGAGGGGAAAAAAAAAAATCTGTCAGGAAGAACTTCTGGGAAAGAATTACTTGGGTAAAACATCTAAACTGTTTTTTCTTCCACTCACATCTCAAATAGTCCCTGCCTACTACTCGGAACTCCTGTTCAAGGCCAGTCGGTGCCCTCAAAGACGCCCCCACTACAGTCCTGGCAGCCTGGGGGGGCACATAGGACAGGACCTGACCACCACCCTCATCTGTGTTTTTGTTTCTTCAATAGACAAAGGGACTGAATGTCAGAAGTTTGTGAGCTTCAAAGTCACAGAAAGTGGCAAACACGAGGGAGCCCTATTTAAATGTAGGCAAGCATTTATGAGACTTCAGTAAATCATTCACTTTTGCTCTGGGAAAATTATGTAAGTTCTATATCAAGTCTGATCTCAATGATGTAAATTAGGTAAGTAAAAGTCTAAAAGAAAAGCACCAAAATGTAAATTTTATTTTATTTTTTTAATGAGTGGAGGAGCCCTGGAGATTACGGGCAGCATTTCTGCACTTGATACGTTTTTTAAAAAAATATACAGAATAACTGAAGAGTTATCTTATTCTTTTTGGCCATGCCATGTGTCTTGCAGGATATTAGTTCCCTGACCGGGGATTGAACCAGGGGCCACGGCAGTGAAAAACACCAAGTTCTACCCACTAGGCCACCAGGGAACACCATGCCGTATACTTCTATTAAAAAAAGGCTGAGAGGCTGGCTGTGACTTCAGGTTTCCACTGTCCACTCACTGGGCTTCCCTGGTGGCTCAGCAGAAAAAGAACCTGCCTGCCAAAGCAGGAGATGGAAGAGACCCAGTGCGATCCCTGGTCGGGATGGTCCCCTGGAGAAGGAAATGACAACCCACTCCTGTATTCTCGCCTGGGAAATCCCATGGACAGAGGAGCCTGGTGGGCTTCAGTCCATGGGGTCGCAGAGAGTCAGACTCGACTTAGCAACTAAGTAAGTACACATCCAGTGCTGGTGAGAATCCAGAGTGTAAAAAGCACGAATCTGTCATTGCACTGGGGAGGAGGCACCAGCCCGAGACGGCCAAGGCCACGTCCTCCTTCCAGACCCTCAGGTGCGCTCTGGACACCAGCCCACGTGGCCCGCCCACCCCAGGGGGGACCCCTCGGAAGTGGGGAGGAACAGAAAGGACAGCTGAGGCTGCTCAGGGCAGGGCAGCCTCCCTGGGGAAAGACGCCCCCCCCCCCCCCGACTCACCCACCACTCCTGGTCCTCCTCGCCGTCCACGATGATCACGTCCCCCTCGGAGAACGTCAGCTCGTCGGGGTTGTCGGCCACGCAGTTGTACAAGGCTTTGACCCGCTTGGGCTTCAGCTTGGTCTGCGTCAAGAAGGGGGCTCAGAGCTCAGTGTGCTGGGAGACACACCTGCTCAGGGGAGAACCGGGCTGCTTTGCTTCCAACGGGTCCCCGGGGCCTGCAAGCCTACAGGCCTGTGCACCCACCAGGGTCAACTTGGGGAGGCTGAGTGCAGCTTGGGGCAGGGGGACTTCCTGGAGGAGGCCAACCCGGGGAAGAGAGTGGCAGTCCGGTGCCTGGTGTGCAGACAGGGGTCGGTCCTAGAGCCAGCCCGTCAGCTGTGAGCTCTGGGCCGTGCCCGGCTTAGATCTGAGCCCTTGGAGGATAACCCGCACACTCCTAGCCAAAGCAGAGGCAGAAAAGAAGGGGCTCGTCCACTCACCGTCTGGGACTTCCTGGGCATGGGCGCAGGGGGCTGCATGACCATGGCATTGGACAGAGGACCCAGAGCTTCTGTTCCAGAGAGGTCCACTGCTTTAGGGCCAAAATGAGTCAACTTCACAATATGCCCCCTCAGCCATCACCACGAGACAGAAACAACGCAAGAGCCATTGTGTCAGATTCACAAGGCAGGTTTCCTGAGGTTTTTCTAATCATTGACAGAAAATCCCCTGAAGGCCAAAGAAACTTGTGACTTCCCTGTGGCCTTTGTACAGTATGCCGGCCTGCAGCTGTCATTGTGGGACAGACGCTATAACCTCCTCCACTGACCACCTCCCCCATCCCCTGCCGGGCCCCCCACCCGCCCCCAGTGGCAGAAGGGGAATGGAATGTGGGGTATGGTACCGGGCAGCCCTGGGAACAGGGGCATCAGGGAGGGTGGCATCAGGGTGGCTGCCCTGCCCTGGACAGGACAGCTGGGCCAGGAGACAGGGCTGACCGCAACGGGACACATCCCCCACTCTGCCCTCATAGACCAGTTCACGTGAAATAATTACCAGGTCCTCTCGGCTGGCCTTTGTTAATCAGTGGGCTTGACTTGTCAGGCCTACGAAGAAGGGGAAATAGTGTCACTGGTACATGCGTGCATGCTAAATTGCTCAGTCGTGTCCGACTCTGCAACCCCACAGACTGTAACCCACCACGCTCCTCTGTCCATGGGATTCTCCAGCCAGAATACTGGAGTGGGTTGCCATGCCCTTCTCCAGGGGAACTTCCTGACCCAGGGATCAAACCCGCATCTCTTACGTCTCCTGCACTGGCAGGCGGGTTCTTGACCATGAGCACCCCTTGGGCAGCCTAGAGTCACTGGTACAGGAGGCCCAAAAGGCACGTGACCACCCTACCTCACTCCCTGTTCTACAGGACCTGTCCGTGTTCAAACTGAAAACGGGCAAGCTAATTTTATCAACTGCCATCCAAGTTAATTCTTTTTCTCTTGGAAAAAGAAAGAGAGAGAGGCCCAGAGGACAGCGCCAGACCCCAGGGGTTCCTTTTTCCAAAACTAGGCTCCTCCCAGGACTCCCCTGTTCTGTGTGAACCTGCAGCCGACACCCCGGGTGTGGGCAGGAAGCAGGGTGCTGAGAACCAGCTCTGCCTCCGACGTTCCTGTCCCACACACCCCAGGTCTCCTCCTGTGTCAGGTGGGGCTGGATCAATCCGCGGGCCCTGGGGGCTCTGCCAGGACTGTCTGGGCCCTACTGGCCCGTGTTGTCCTCTGTACCATGACCCCTGCTGCCTATAACCCTCTGAGACTGACCATGGCTCGGCTCCCCTCAGGATCGAGGGGCCAAGTGAAAGCTTATCTTTCTTTCTATGTTCGACTACCAGAAAACACGCTCCGTTTAGGCAATAGACTAGAAGTCTGTCCTCTAAGGAACCTGCGGTGTCCAATACCAGGGCCACCCAGGGAGACTGCTCTAGATGGCACGACCCATGCCAGCAGTGTGGTCATCAGGGTGCAGTCTGCCAGCTTCTAATGCTGCATCTGAAGGGGCAACTTAGTGAGAGGGAAGACCACACTTAGGGGAAACATCTATGACATAACAGAAGTCAGAACGGAAAGAATTGTGGAAGAGATGGGAGAAAATGAGTCGGTGAAACCAATAGGATACTATTAACATGAACATTATTTATATGATCACAAAAAGCTGAGAAAATCTCCCAGAAAGCTGACTGTAAAAAGCAAGCAAGCGAGCAAGCAGGGAAACAAGGCCGGAATGGAGAGCCAGAAGGGGGCTGGGAGCTGGCCCCTCTGCAGTGCAGCTGCACTTCCAGCCCCTGCCTCTAGGTGGGGCCACGGGACTGGCCTGAGCGAGAGCATCACTCAGGCCCCAGGGGTGTTTGCTAGTTTCTCCTGCAGAATTAAGTCTCAGTCAGTTCAGTCGCTCAGCCGTGTCCGACTCTGCGACCCCGTGGACTGTAGCACGCCAGGCTTCCCTGTCCATCACCAACTCCCGGAGCTTGCTCAAACTCATGTCCATCACGTCGGTGATGCCATCCAACCATCTCATCCCCTGTCATCCCCTTCTCCTCCTGCCTTCAATCTTTTCCAGCATCAGGGTCTTTTCAAATGAGTTGGTTCTTCACATCAGGTGACCAAAGTATTGGAGCTTCAGCTTCAGCATCAGTCCTTCCAGTGAATATTCAGGACTGATTTCCTTTAGGATGGACTGGTTGGATTTCCTTGCAGTCCAAGGGACTCTCAAGAGTCTCCTCCAACGCCACAGTTCAAAAGCAGCAATTCTTCTGTGCTCAGCTTTCTTTATAGTCCAATTCTCACATCCATATATGACTACTGGAAAAAGCATAGCTTTGACTAGATGGACCTTTGTTGGCAAAGTAATGTCTCTGCTTTTTAATATGCTGTCTAGGTTGGTCATAGTTTTTCTTTCAAGGAACAAGCGTCTTTTAATTTCAAGGCTGCAGTCACCATCTACACTGATTTTGAAGTCCCCCAAAATAAAGTATCTCACTGTTTCCATTGCTTCCCCATCTATTTGACATGAAGTGATGGGACCAGATGTCATGTTCTTAGTTTTCTGAATGTTGAGTTTTAAGCCAACTTTTTCACTCTCCTCTTTCACTTTCATCAAGAGGTTCTTTAGTTCTTCACTTTCTGCCATAAGGGTGGTGTCATCTGCACATATAAGGTTATTGACATTTCTCCCGGCAATCTTGAACTAACCCTCGGCCCAAGGGATAAAGATGGTGGAGTCAGAAGTAGAAGAGGTCTGGGTCTCTGACTCATCCCCTTGGGTTTGCTGTACAAGCAAGAATGGGGACACTCAACTCGTGGGAGCAAGAAGTGAATTCCTTATGTTAAACCACTGAGATGGTCCAGCGGTAGGCTGTTAGAGCAATCAGCTTACTCTAATAAAGAGAAAAGGTGATACACACAGAGGAAAGGCCAAGAGGATCTGATATCCGAATAGTAAGAATTGGACTACAAGTTAGAACAGAAAAATACAGATGCTAAGTCATTAAAAAAAAAAAATCAATTGAGATTTCTCAGATGCAGGATGTAGTTTCTATGTTGAGAGGCTCCGTCATCTACTTGGGAGCAGGGATTAAAACAGACCACCTCACCCCGGGGAGTCAGAGTCCGAGGTGTCCATGGATGGGGGCCTGACGGGGGTTTGCCTGAGGGGACACAGGAAGGCATCCACCTGGCTAGGGGCAGGGGCTGGCCTGTCAGGAGAGCTGGAGACCCAGGAGGGTCCCAGATTCCAGCAGGGAGAGGAGGCTTCTGCACAGAGGAGAAGGCGGGGATGGGAGATGCATTTCATAAGGGTACCGATCAGTTACATAAACATGGGAGCCAGACTTTTTTACCATTAGAAAAGGGAGTAACAAGTGCAGAAAGGAATAAAAAGCTCTAATAGAATAAACCCCGTCGAGCATTTAAAACACCGAGAATGGACTGCATGGCCACTGCAATGCCCCACCCTCCCCTGACCGAGTCCAGGCTCTGCCTGTGCCGAGCAGTAGCAGAAGGCAGCTGTGATGCCCTGCTGGTTTCCAGGACTTGCTCTTGGGCCTAGTCACCCTGATGTGAGACGGGCCAGGACACGTTAAGTATTCCAGCCGAGAGCCCCAGCTGAAGTCCCAGCTGACAGCCAGCACCAACCACGTGTGTGGACTGGGGAGGCCTCCTCTGATGAATCGCTCTGTGTTGAACAACCCCCAGCCCTCGAGTCTTTTCAGGTAAAGGCCCAGATATTGTCAAGCAAACACAAGCCACTCCCCCTGTGCTGACCCAAACTCATGAGCGCAATAAGACAGTTGTGGCTTATGTCAATACATTTTGGTGTGGTTTGCTACTCAGAACCAGAGAAACTGGAGACAGTGTGAACTCATGGATTTACATCCACATAGACAAGAAACAGAAATAAATGTTTATACATGTATACAAGCATGCATGTATATGTATGAATATACACATACGTATCCCTAGTTCTGATCACTCAGAAGGCCTGCCCGCGAGCACTGACACTCCAATGGCAATGAGGACACCGACCACCCAGATCTTGGCGTCTTAAGTATCATTCCACTAAAACGAACCATTTCTCTGCCTTAAAAATCCAGACTGAAAGCCATGAACTGGATCCCATGAGCTTTACTACAATAAATGTGGTAAAGGACATTTATTTAAACAAATGGCAAAACCTGGAGTCTGCATTTTGGAAGGTAGGCTCAGTGGTAAAGAATCCACCTGCCAATGCAGGAGACATGGGCTCAATCCTTGGGTCAGAAAGATCCACTGCAGAAGGAAATGGCTACCCACTCCAGTATTCTTGCCTGGAGAATCCCATGGACAGAGAAGCCTAGCAGGCTACAGTCCATGGGGTCGCAAAGTGTCGGACACAACTTAGCGACTGAACAATAACAACCATGTTAATTTCCTGATCTGGCTGGCTGTATTATGTTTATGTAGGAGAATGTCCTAGTTTGTTGGAAATACATGTCCTGCACTGCAAAGAGTTCACGTATTCAAGATAATCCCATGAGTGAACAACAAGTAAGACCTAGAGGCCCTGTGTCTTGAGGAGTTTAACTCCCCCAGTCCCAGTGTCTGTGTTCAACAGAAATCTAAATTCATCATGTGGATATAAGACACGCACTGGTATGAAATGTTTGCAGCATATTCTTGGTAAATTATTTTGAAGACCACAGAAATCTAAATTCATCATGTGGATATAAGACACGCACTGGTATGAAATGTTTGCAGCATATTCTTGGTAAATTATTCTGAAGACCCCTGAAACATAATGAACATAATGAATTAGTCAATCAACACTTGGCCTCAGGGGTCATAGCAGAATTTGAAACGTGGATGATTTCAAACGTTCAGAGAACGTTTGGCAGGTAAAGTTGTGGGGCGGGTGCACTGGGAAGTCCCCTGAAGGCAGGAAGCATGGATGGTGACCTGGCTGGCCCCCGAGGGGGACATAGCAAGCAGCAGTTACCCGGGAGCAGGCCTCTTCTGGGGGAGGCGGCTGGGCGGCTGGGGCGGCAAGGGTGGCGGGGCTTTGCTGGGTGGGAGTCCGGGCTGGGCCGGCTTGCTCTGCTGGCTCAAGGATTCGATCACACTGGGCGTTTTGGCCACCGGAGGGGGTGGCGTGGGAGCCAGGGGGTCTGCAGAGAGAGAAAAGAGAGAGAGACACACGCAGAGGGTCAGCCTCCAGGCCTCATATTCCCAGGCTCCCCACCCGAGGCTCCTTCGACGAGGGCTTCCTTTTCTCCTTCCACTATTTCACGGGGAAAACACCCACTTCCACCAAAGACTTTTCAGAGAGCAGTATCGGTAGAGAGTCCTTCTAGGCCTTAAGGGGGGATTAAAATGACTCCATGGGCCTGGGGGTGTTTTCTCAGCTAGAACCCCTCCTGGGGAAGCCAACTGGGTCTTCCATCCTCCAGGGAACCTGGAGCAGCAGCTGCAGGAAGCCTGGCCCGGGTCCTGCCCTGGGCCCACCCATGTCACCCGGTGGCCAGCCGGTCAGTCTGGGGACAGCCTGTGAAGGGCCAACTCCGAGAAGGCTTCCCGTCTCTAAGGGGACAGGGCAACAAGTTATATTCTCTACGTTTTACAGAGAATGAGGGAGCCGAGGCTTTCAGTGAGGGCATGGGGCTGGTAAGACAAGGGGCCAGAACTTGAGCCTCCTTCCCGTTTGCTGACAAAACATCAGCGCCCTTCTCAACGGGCAGCACCCGTGTCCCGCAGTCCGAGCAGAGGCAGCGACCTGCCCCCGGGCCTGGACGTGGACATCTCAGGAGCCTCGGCCCCAGACGGCGGAGGCGGGGGGCGCTGGCTGAGCAGGGAGGGGTCCGGTTCAGGCTTTCTTTCCTTTTTTCATAAGCTTTTTAAAAGCAAAGTCAAAAGGCAGACTCTTGCATGCCTATCTATAGTCCCACGGACACGGGACCATGAGGCAGAAGAGTGATGCTTCGGAGACCTGCTGGAGGCCTCTCACCACCGAGCTCCTCGCCGCCGCCCCCGGACCTGGGGGCCCCCGCCCCACCGCAGCCTCTGGAAGCCCCTCCCCGAGGCAGCTGCCCGCTTGGCCTCCAGCACCCGGAGGGCACCGGCTGCAGCCGGGGTGGTTTCTCCCACCTTAACTCCAGCTAAGGAAACCCAGAGAAACCCTCAGCGCTCTCGGAGCGGACCCGCACCCCGAAAGCCCAGAGCCCCTCCTATAGCGTCCAGGCCTCGCCTCCCTGGTCCAGTCGCCACCCCTGACCCCGCTTTGCACCCCCTGCCCCTCCCCCCGGTGGACACATGACACTGAAGGGAAACACAGAGCAGATTCTAATCCACAGGAACACAAGCCGGTACCCCGAAGCACGGAACAGCCAGAGGAAGCCCGGCACCGGCGTGCGAGAGAAAGAAACGCTGCTGACTGCTTGGAGACAGAGGAGAGTGGGGGTGGACCCCGCAGGGAGTGGGACAGACAGCGGCCAGCTGCCAGGGAGGAGGGGGCCGCAGGGAGGCGGCCACGGGGGAGCCCCCAGCAGCGTGCAGGCTGGGGCTTGCTCCCCACGTGGCGGCCGAGAGGACCAACCCCCTCCTCCCCACCAGCCATCCGTGTAGTATGAAGCCCGACGGCAAGAAAGGTAAAAGGAAAAAAAAAACGTACTGGTAGATGTCACGCGGAGAGGGGGCAGCGGTGGATGGACAGTGGGCGGATCTGACGAAGATCGCTGCCGGCTTATACTGTCCACGCTTACAGAGTTTGTCTTCCACGGGGCGTTAGCGGAGGAGGCTGGCTGAGCTGCACACGCACGCACACGCACGCCCATGCACACGCAGGCATGCACACGCACGCAGGAGCACAGAACAAAAACAGAAACAGAACACGGCATTATTGATCCTCTGCCTGTACGACAGGAAACGTGACCCTTCTGTGGACAGAACAGTGGTAAGACCACAAATAGGCCGCTCATTTGTTTGAAAAAAAAAATTCTTTCTGGCACCTGGAAGACAGATACCAATACACACCAAACCAACGATGCTCCTGGGAAATTTCCCAGTTGGTCTCCATCTTACCGATGTCTCTAATGGAAGTACTGTTTGAAGAGGGAAATGATAACCACAGTGACCCTCCTGAGCACTGCACTCAGGGATGGGACGTCTGCTTGTCTCTACCCATTTACGTCCTCCCATGGGGTCAGCACCTCGCTGGGGGACACCTGTCCTGAGACAGAGCACGTGAGAGGAGGGCCAAGTCACACACAGCTGGTGAAGGGCAGATGTATTTCTGGCTGGATGCCGGCACCTGGTGACACCCTTCCTCTGCCCGCTCCTCCTCACGGAGCGGCATCTGCCCAGGGCACAGGCATGACCGTGTCTGAGGCTGCGTGTGGCTCACATGGCTGGCTGGGCCTGGAGATGAAAACAGGCCACAGCCACATAGGGCAGACCTGGGGTAGGGGGAGGCTTCCCTCCTGTCCCCTGACGGGGACAGCACTGACCTTCTTCCATTTGTTGGGGTCCACATGGACCAAGGGTAGAACAGACAGAAAACAAAGATAGGCTTTAGTGGGCTGGAGGGGGTGAAAGGCGATCTCCATCATCAAAGGAAGAAAAAGGGAACCCTTCAAACCCTTCTCATCTTAAGACTTGAAGGAAGCCAAGAAACACAGGTGAACAGCTTTCTACCGCTGTCCTGTGACCCAACAGAGCAAAAGAAAATCTCTCCGCCCACGACATACACAGTCAGGAAAAGCTGCTCATGAGGTGCCGACGACCTAACCATTTAGCTCCAGCCTCACAAGACAACATACACACCTGGGACTTGGGAGGCGGGAGGGGGAGGCAACAAGCCGCCCCCCATGAGGCCCCTTGACCACAGAGGCCCTCATATACCGGGGCCCCTTCCAGCTGCAGGGCGTGACCTCCTTCCTTGCACAGGGGCTCCCTGCAGGCCTGGGAGGAGGAATGCGCTCTGCGGGAGGGGCGGGCTGGTTTCCAAGGACTGCCCGGCATGGCCAGTGACCTCTGGGCCTCCCTGAGTACTGAGGCAGAGCCGTGTGGAAGGGCCTGCACCACAGCCAGGGCAGAGGGATGGGGTTGGGGGGGCAACAGCCACCCCACTCTGTGAGCACAGACTTCAGGCCTCCCGGCATCACTGCCACTCGGCTATGTGCCCCTCTCCAAGAGCAGCTCCTGCGAAATGCAACCTGGGACTTACTTCTGGGGCCACCATCAGCCTAGAGCAGCCGTGGGGCTTGGACATCACACCCAGGGCAGGCTCCTGCCCCCCACCCTCAGGAAGCCCCCTGGAGCCCCAGCATACACCCGGCCTGGCCACCTGCTGAACCTGCCTTCAGGGAGCAAAATGGCCAGTGGGCCTCCAGTGCTGGGTAAATTACTTAACCTTTGTGGGCAGGCGAGTGGGTGGGCCTTCAGTTTCCATTTTTATAAAAACAGAAAATAGCATCTGTGGTGTCAAACTCACTATGCTGTGAAAGACTGACTGAGGCCAGCACAGCAAAGCTTCAGCACCTGAAGTGCCAGCAGGACCCTGGGGGACTCTTCTGTATTTTTACAGCTAGGCTGAGCACTGCTTCCCAAATTAGCATCTTTCTATCCTTCACTTCAGGGGGAATCACAGAGAGAAGAAATAATCAGATGCCACAAGCTGGCCGTGTACAGGCAAGAGAGAGACAGAAAGGGAAAGAATGGAGGCAACGGGAGGGGTGGACAGCAAAGACAACAGCACCAGGAAGCAGGTCTGCGGGAAACACCCAGGGACAGCGGCAGGGCTCACCCAGCCACCCCAGGCCTGCGCAGCGCAGTCCCTGAGTCACACAAGCCACCACCCGGCCCGGAACAAGAACGAAGCCAAGACACACTCCCACCATCCTAAGAATGATGGAGCTCATTTTGGAAGCAAAGAACGCTAAGTACAAAACAAAGACCCAAAAGAAAAACGCGTCCTGACACTGGCCCACAGGCGAGCTAGCTGGGGACAAAGCAAGGACAGAGTCCCCAAAGCGTGACCCCAATCACAGCGCTCTTGCACCCAGGGCGACCAATAGCTCAGTACATACCTTTGGCGACGTTCCGTGGGGGGAGCGGGGGGGCGCTGGCCGAGCCGGGGGCCACAGGCTGGGTGGGCGGCGGGCTGCCACTCAGGATGGCACCGTATGTCTCGTTCTGCAGGAGGCTGGGCACGAAGCCTCTCTGCTTGTCCTTGGCCAGGCTGCCGGCGTCTCTCGCCAGAGCTGCAGCGCTGGACGGCAGCTGGCTGGGGCCCAGCTGGTAGAAGCTGACAGGCCGGTCTTCTCGCCGACTGGGGCTGGGCTGTGGGGGTGGTGGGCAGAGGTGTGTGAGACGAAGACGCGCTGACCTCCGGGTCATGGCTATGGATGTGCTGGTGACAAGCCCAGGCATGCCACTCAATCACCTGGGCCCAGCGCATTTCTGCCATTGCAGGACAGCGGCGAGACCTAAACCTCACTCTTAGCGTGTCTCTTAATGGACACACCCACCAAAAGAGCCGTGCTTTACAAGAACCTGCAATTCTTCATCCTGGGAAGAACTTAGAACATAAGCTGCTTCATCTCTACCAGCCGGAGTTGGCCCGGTGTAGCCCTGCTTTCACCGCACGTCCCCTCCACGAGCATCCTTCTCAGACAGCACCCACAGCTGTGACCGATCCTCAACAGCCACACAGCTAATTCAGGGGAGATCAACGTCTTCCTCCCATAGAACTCAGGACTCTAAAGAGTCCTCTAGCTCAGGGTCAGCGAATTATAACTTGTGGGACCACCACCTGTTTTAACAAGTAAAACATGAGCAGAAGGCAGCCATGCCTAAGGTTTACACACTGCCCATGGCTGCTCTCCAACCACCCTGGAGGAGAGGAGCTGGAACACAGGCTCGTGTTTTAGGCCCACAAGCTTAAAACATCTGTCATCCGGCCCTTTACAGGTTTGCTGACACTTGCTCCACCTGAAGGTCATATGCAAGGAACCAGGGACTTGGGTAAATTTGATCAAACTCCTATCTCAAATGTCAGCTTTGTTATAACAGCTGTGATCTTGAGCAAACTAGCCTTGCTGATCCTATTTTTCATCTGTTAAATGGGTACAAATCTAACTACCGGCACAGAGCCCAGAATTTAGCAGGTATGAGTACTGGCTGTCACACCCACCTCACCTACCTGGTCAAGGCTCTGGCCAACCAACGGCTCACACTCAGCTTCAGTGCACAGAGCCCAGTGGCCAGTGGTCCTTCCTACAGAGTTTAAACTCCGACAGGGAGCACGGCTGTGTGAACCATGCCCGCCGCTCTCTGCTGGGATGGGGTGGAGTGGGGGGCGTGAGTGTCAGCACTGCTGCTGGGCTTTCCCTGGGACCACAGGACCCGCCCAGTCACTGCCTGCACGACCCTGGGGACCTGACAACGCGATGTGTGCTGGACCAGGAGGCACTCATGCCGGGGCAGATGTTTCAAAGCTTCTCTTTTTTAAAAAAAAAAAAAATTTTATTTTATTGTATTTTTTATTTATTTTTTGGCTGACCCATACAAGATCTTAGTTCCCCAAGGAGGGACCAAACCCATGCCCCCTCATTGGGAGCGTGGAGTCTTAACCACTGGGCCATGAGGGAAGTCCGAAACCTTCACCTTTTCTAAAGGAAAATCTAAGTATAAAATGAACAGTTCCTCTCACTCTGACACTGTTTTACAGCGAACTCAGAAACTCCTTATTCTAAGAAACAGAACAGTCCAACAGCTTTCAGAAATGCCATGTATTTCTGAAATATACATATGAGGACATTAAAGTGCAACAGCAAGAAATAAAGCCTTACATCATGGCATTCTCACTAATTTCACAGCTTTGGGCATACAGGCTTTGTAGCAGTCGTCCTGGGCCTGGCTTTGAGCTCTGAGACAGGTGTGAAGGCGGTTACCTTCCGGGAGTGCCCCCAAGTGCACAAGCAAGAGCATCCTGAGGAACAGCCGGACGAGGAGGCAAGAGCCCCCGGGGCAGTCTCCAAGTGCTGGCTCCACTGTGGCCAAGCCAGCCTCTCAGTCTTGAGGCTTGAATGGCCCATCTGATACAGGAAAGAGTTGGGCCAAATGAGATCCAAGGGTCACTGATTTCAGTGAAGGTTTTAAAGATCTACTCGGTGAACACAAAAACCACTCCTGGGGAAACACGGCTTTTCATCACATCATTCTCAGTGAGAGAGCTTCCTCTAACATCCATCAGAATCAGAGGCCCTCTTGTATCTATCCTTTGTATCAGAAAGTGAGCGGCTGCCATGATAACATAACTAATGTCCCGTAAAGTCACATTTGTAGGAGTTGGGAGACAGGGGCAGTTGTGGGATGGGTAAAACCCCAAAACTACTGAGATCAGTATTTCCTTTCCCACAACAGCTTTCTGCCCTAAATATAAGGCCGGGGCCCACACCGCTCTGAAGGATGCTCATCATAAAACTCTCCATGTTTTGCAAGCTGGCACAGACCTGCAACTTCTCGTCCATGTCGTCGTCGCTTTCATCCAGGTCTTCATGGAGCAGTCGCCATTCATATTCCACGTGAACGTGGGAATTAAACCTTCCAGACAAGGCCTGGTTCAGCTGAGAACGACAATGGGCCATCAGTGACGCTGCTCACACACTCGACCTTGTAAAGCAGATGTGGACTGAGAGGCAGCAGGCAGCGGGTCTGCGCCCCAGAGAAGCTGTGCCCCAGCATGAGGCTGGCTTATTTCATTTGCTGCGTCTCAGGCCAATCGCCCCTCCCAAATCCACACATACCCTGGAAGCTCAAACCCGACAACTCCCATTTAGTGCTTTGTAAGCTGCAAAGTCACAGTATGCAGCCAAGGAGTGTCTGAGATCTAAAGGGCAATGGCCAGCCCTTGGGTACCCACAACTGCACAGGGAGCACTTAATCCAGGAAGGAACAAGCCAGCTAACTGTAGACCCCGCTTTTCCTGACCAGCGCAGAGAATTAAGTCCTGCAAAAAATGACACAAATGACTGCTTTCCCAGCTTTCTCGGGGAAGGTGGACAGCTGGTTTCATTCTAGATGCACAGGTGAGAAGTTATTGCATCAGATAAATGGGTGTCTTAGCACATCAGGGTCTAAATTTTCTCCAAAGCCAGACAGTAGCCATGTGATTTCAGGCAAGTTATTTAACCCTCTGAAGCTGGCTCCTCATCTGTAAAATGGAGTAAGAGTAGGTACCTACTAATCAGTGTCCTAAGGGGTAACAGTAGGCGCCCACTAATCAGAGTCCTAAGGTGTAACAGCAGGGGCCAACTAATCAGTGTCCTAAGGGGAAGCAGTAGGCGCCTACTTAATCAGTATCCTAAGGGGTAACAGTAGGCGCCTACTAACCAGTGTTCTTAGGGGTAACAGTAGGTGCCTACTAACCAGTGTCCTAAGGGGTAACAGTAGGCGCCCACTAATCAGTGTCCTAAGGGGTAATAGTAGGTGCCCACTAATTAGTATCCTAAGAGGAAACAGTAGGCGCCTACTAATCAGTGTCCGAAGGGGTAACAGTAGGCACCCACTAATCAGTGTCCTAAGGGTTATCAAGATTAAATGAGTTAATGGACACAAAGAGCTCAGGATAGTAATAATAATGTTCCTCATCTTCTACAGCAGCGACTGTTAATGGCTCTGTTTACCGAGCACTTAGTACGTGCCCACGGCTTCACAGAGTTCAAGTCCATGACGACCCTGCAGGCTGGCGTAGCCGACTCCACTTTACAAACAAGGCAACAGTGGGGACAGCTGGCATGACCTTCCCAAGCCACAGCAGTAGAGCTCCCTGCAAACCCCTGGGGCCTCGGCTCCACTTACCCCCAAAGCCAGAGCCGACAACACCAACCAGAGCCCAACCAGAAAATACTGACTCATGTTCCAAGTGTCCCGCTAGGCAGGTGGTCCCCCCCTCTCTAAAGGTGCCCCAGGACACTTGCTCCGAGCTGTCCCCTCTAGGACACTGGGATCTGCTCAGGACCCTCCTGCAGACCCTCCCCAAGGGGAACCCCCCACCCCACCGGGGAAGACTCACCAGCTCCTCGCAGCGCTCGTGCCTGAGTCGCTTGGCAATGTCCAGTGGTGTCTCTCCTGACTCGTTAGCTAAGGGACGGTGGGATGAAAGGACGTGTTGTGGCCAAATCAAGCAAAGGTCTGATACCCTGAGGCTATTAAACAGAGACCCAGTGAAGCAGCCCAAATGAAACTGGACCTGACTAATGAATTCTGGTGACTTAGCCCCCGTCGGGGCTGAACTATTCTGAAATCATACAGAACTAAGCAGTGTGCAGTCAGTAAGGTTTTAAAAGACAAGGTTTGAACTAATCATGAAAGTAAAAGCACTAAAGTTAAGCCAACTAATGTAAAAATAAACATCCAAGGCGTAATTCACTGAGTAAAGCAGTTCATGGTAATTCTCTAACCAAAAGCACTGTTAATCTAGTTCCAGGAACCTGGCTGAAAGACTTTACACCTCCTTTTATTAATAAGTAGTCTGTAAATTTGGAATTGTATATTTTCTTCTAAACAAACCTCAGTCAATGAGGTTGGATGATTAATTAAAAAATAAAAAAACTCGGCTCTCAAGCAGGCATGAGCCTTTTTTTCCAGTCTTGGCTCTTTGTTTGATAATTCTTCAAAGCTCCTCCCCAGGACACATCACAGCCAGATGTCCTGGGGGTTAAGCCATGTCCAGCCAGCTGCAGGTCAGGGCTGTGGGAGGAGAAAGCGATGGAAGCCAAGCAGACATGGTCCCTCGCAGAGGAGGTTCCATGCAGTGAACAGAGGGGCAGTGGGCAGTGACTCCCAGCAGTAAACGTGCCCACCCAGGGCCAGTGAGGGACCAAGTCTGATCTCAGGTGGAGTCAGGAAGATGCCTGAACCTTGTCCAAGGTCACCTGGCCACCGGTTAACAGCTGCAGGCCATCCCCTGCCTCTCATGGCCCAGAAAACGCTGGCAACATGGGGGGAAGTCCATGAGACAGCGGAGGGAAACTGCTGGTAAGTATCAGACCACGGCAGCCTGGCAGAGCGGGCCCTGTCTTGCCGGGTGGTGCCGGCTCCCGGGCTCTGCCCGGAGCCCAGCGGCCAGCGGGGCCGGGCGGAGGCTCACCGATGCCGATGGAGGCCTTGCCCCGCAGCAGCAGCTTCAGGCACTCAGCGCCGTCGGTCAGGCAGCAGTAGTGCAGGGCCGTGCTGCCCTTCCCCGTCTGTTTGTCCAGGTTCCCGCTGGCGAGGACAGGCGCCCAGAGAGAGAGAGAAGATAGGGAAGCCTCGGGTCAGAGGACTGGGGTCCGGGAGAGGCAGTCGGCGCCCGGGTTCCTGGCCGGCAGGGTCTCTCATCCTCCTTCAGGGTGGGGGGGGGCGGCCACAGCGCCAGTCCAGCTTGTGGCAGGAGGCGGCCTGGGCTTAGGGCCATCGGGGAATAAACTACGATGGCAGAGCCAGCCAAAAAAAGGGGGCGAGGCACCTGTGCACCCCTGAGCAGGCGCTGGGAGAAGCAGGTGAGCCAGGTCCCTCCCGCTGCACTGCTAAGGCCCCACCAGCGTGTCCCATTGCACAGCGTGGGCTGAGCTCTTTTCATCCTACTGACGACACTCTTGCCAGGAAGGGGAAAAGCCACTTTTTCCAAAGTTCAGAGTCACCAGGCTCCTCTGAGCTGGCTCGCCCTGGACCACCCTGAAAACAGGCTCCAGGGGAATGAGGGGACCACGGGTTCTGCCAACACAGAACAGACTGGGCGATCCCAGGACGAGCCACTCAGCCCACCGGACGTCACGCTCTGAGCGGGACAGCAGGGCTCCACCCTGAACAGACAGGTGGGGACGCGGAGGGATCACCAGGAGACGATGCCTCAGGATCCCGACAGGAGGAAACCAGCCACCTTCACTGTTCCTTTTTTCCAAGCAGCTTCGTTTTCAGTAAAAAAGAGCCTGATCTCTGATCTCTCTACTCCCCGCTCCAGAGAAGAGGGACCAGCATTGCCCTTCTCCTGTCCCCTGAGAGTCTGCTCTGAGGGGGCTGGCACCTGGCACCTGGCATCCAGGTGTCCAGTGAGCTCCCGGCTCCTGGGGAAGGAGCTGACCACCCCCAAGCTCCTCCAGCCCCGGCCATCTCTTCCCTCCAGGAACTGTCAGAAGACACAAAACGCAAAACGTCTCCTTGCTTCTGCACTTGCTGAAGAATTTCTGTGGCTTCTGGCCATTCCTTGCCCCAGTCCCACCCAGAGCCACGCTCAGGGAGCCACAATGCACCCTGACCTCGAGTCATGACTGGACTCCGGCGGTCAGGCCAGCCCTGCACCAAGCAAGGCAGGACGAACCTGATGGGAGCGCTGGGGCCAAGGAAACTGCCCGCGCACGTCCTCTCCACAGCTATGCTCTAATTGAAAATAACAGCTTTTCCTACCAAGCAAAATGCCCACAACCCTGCCTCGGCCCGTGCTGGAGGTGGAGCCCTGCTTCCTGCTTCCATCTCCCTGTGCTCATGGTGCCCTGCCTGACGTCATGGGGACCCCCACCTCACAGGACAAGCGGGGGCTTCCCTGCCTGATGTCATCAGGACCACCCCTCACCTCACAGGACAAGCCAGGGGCTGCCCTGCCTGATGTGATGGGACGCCCCACCTCACAGGACAAGCTGGGGGCTGCCCTGCCTGACGTCATCAGGACCACCCCCCACCTCACAGGACAAGCCAGGGGCTGCCCTGCCTGACGTCATGAGACCCCCACCTCACAGGACAAGCTGGGGGCTGCCCTGCCTGACGTCATGGGGACCCCCACCTCACAGGACAAGCCGGGGACTGCCCTGCCTGACGTCATCAGGACCACCCCTCACCTCACAGGACAAGCCGGGGACTGCCCTGCCTGACGTCATGGGAACCCCCACCTCACAGGACAAGCTAGGGGCTGCCCTGCCTGACATCATGGGGACCCCCACCTCACAGGACAAGCCCAGGGGCTGCCCTGCCTGATGTCTTGGGGACCCCACCTCACAGGACAAGCCAGGGACTGCCCTGCCTGATGTCATGGGACCCCCACCTCACAGGACAAGCCCAGGGGCTGCCCTGCCTGATGTCTTGGGGACCCCTGCCTGATGTCATGGGACCCCCACCTCACAGGACAAGCCAGGGACCGCCCTGCCTGACGTCATCAGGACCACCCCTCACCTCACAGGACAAGCCGGGGACTGCCCTGCCTGATGTCATGGAACCCCCACCTCACAGGACAAGCCAGGGACTGCCCTGCCTGATGTCATGGGACCCCCACCTCACAGGACAAGCCCAGGGGCTGCCCTGCCTGATGTCATGGGACCCCCACCTCACAGGACAAGCCAGGGACTGCCCTGCCTGACGTCATCAGGACCACCCCTCACCTCACAGGACAAGCCGGGGACTGCCCTGCCTGATGTCATGGAACCCCCACCTCACAGGACAAGCCGGGGACTGCCCTGCCTGATGTCATGGGACCCCCACCTCACAGGACAAGCCCAGGGGCTGCCCTGCCTGATGTCATGGGACCCCCACCTCACAGGACAAGCCTGGGGGCTGCCCTGTCTGACTTCGTGGGGGCCACTCCCCACTTGACAGTCAAGGGGGCTACAGCCAAAGGATGCTTTCCAGGGGCTCAGAATTCAGCAGAACTATTCACGGGGTGTCCCCCTGAGCCCCAGACAATAGAAGCTGGATACTGCAGACACCAGAAGGGGTTAAGACTGCACAGGGACACCCCACACCTGCAGCCCTTTCGCTGTTCCGTACATCCTAGTCACACCTGAGGAAATTCTAACACTGGCCATGCTGCAGAAGCAGTGAGGCAACCCCTGATCCCTTCCCCAGAAACACCCAGGAGCAAAATCAAACACCAGCCCTGATTTCAGGATACCTACCTGTTCTGAACTAAGAAGTCTACAATGTGGAGAGAAGTCCGGTCCACGGACCTGACGGCAAGATGGAGGGCAGTCTCATCCGGCTCCTGAAGACCAAACAGAAACATTCCAGAGTCCCAAGGGGAGCACTCAGCTCTGCGGCCAACGCAAGTGAAAGCGTGTATTTCTTTTCTAAAAGCCTCTGAGTCTGTCCTTTGAAAAACCTATCTCTAAAATGTGTTACCTATTGCTAAGCTGTGTCTTGTAAGCCCATGGACTGTATGTAGCCTGCCAGGCTCCTCTGTCCATGGGATTTCCCAGGCAGGAATACTGGAATGGGTTGCCATGCTCTCCCCCAGGGGATCTTCCCAACCCAGGGATCAAACCTGAGTCTCCTACGCTGGCAAGCAGATTCTTTACAGCTGAGCCACCAGGGAAGCCAATCTCCATGGCAATATCTGCCCTTGGGAACCTGTCATTTAGAGACTGGTCCTAGTCCTCCTCCCTCCCCGGAAAAGAATGAAAAATTCGGGGGTTTCATTGCAAAGTCCTCTCAAGCTTTCTGACCCACTCCCTGCATCATCAACATGATGAGGCTTAGGCCGCTGAGAAAAGGCTCCTTCCCCCGGGGATGGACTCTCTTCCCAGAGCTGCCCCTACAGTTTGGCTGAAGAATCAACCACACTCACCCAGGACACTCTGCCTCTTCGCTCAGGGTGTTTCATGACACTGTCAGCACTTCTGATGACATTCCTTTGTCACTCCCCATCAACCCCTCCAACCCTTTCTGTTTTTACATGTCCTTTCTTACATGTCCATTGGCCAGTGGGATTTTTTCTGTAAGATCCACACCGTCGGCGTATGCTTGAAGTAATCCAAAAATGTCTCTTGTTTTCACAGCTTCACAAAGACTGTGAAGTTTGGCCACATTATCCGCGTGTTTTTTCCGTGCGTATTTCCTCTCAATGTACTTGGCAGTGATGTAGTCCTTTCTTGCATTCCTGAAATCAAACATAACTGCCTTGTAAATGACTAAGGGCCTTAACATCCAATCATCTGTAATGAGTTAAAAATAATCCCACCCCCTCATGGTAACAAGGACTGATGCTGAAGCTTCAGTACTTTGGCCACCAGATGCAAACAGCTGACTCAATGGAAAAGATCCTGATGCTGGGAAAGATTGAGGGCAGGAGGAGAAGCGGGTGACAGAGCATGAGATGGCTGGATGGCATCACTGACTCAATGGACGTGAGTTCGAGCAAACTTTGGGAGATGGTGAAAGACAGGGAAGCCTGGCATGCTGCAGCTCACAGGGTGGCAAAGAGTTGGACCTGACTTGGCGACTGAACCACAACATGGTAACAAGCGGCACGGGAAGAAAATTACAGAGCAGGAGGCAGGCAGCGTGTGGCTCCCCTGCAGCACCAGCGTCCATTCTGCCTCTAGCACTTTCAGGAGGTTGGACACCCAAGACAAGGGGTATCAAGGTCTGGGTCTAAGGGCTGAGCAGCCGGGTTGGGGGACTGGCAGACTGCGAGGGAAGACTGTTTTCCTGTTTGTGGGCACCATGCCTGGCAGGCAGGTTCCCCACGTGCCCCGTGAAATCGAACGAGTTGTCAATCTTCATGGTCTATTCAAGGCTTTAACTTGGCCTTGCGGGCACAGACCCCACCTCTCCAAGGAGCACAGAGCGGCATCAAATCCAGGGGAGCCAAAATCCTCCCCCGCTGTAGACTGCCAAGTGACCCTGGGCAAGTACGTGACCCCAAATCTTCTTATCTGTGAAATGCACACAGCCTGGGCGAAGCACATGAGGTGACACTTTGCTGCACTCCCGGAAGGTCCTTAGGGCCTCGGAAAGTACTGATGAACTCGAAAGATGGAGCAAGAAAAACAGCGGCTCCTGGTCCAGAGGACTGAGCATCTCACTCTGAGGAACATAACAAGCAGTCAACAGAAACTATAAAAACCTAGACATGGTGTTTGAGGGACAGTAAACGCTAATTACCCATGACAACCAAGTCATAAGGATCCATCAGCTGATGAACAGGTAAAAAAGACATGGTGTCCACATGACAAGAGTACGACTCAGGCACAAAAGGAATGAAGCACTCACGTGGACCAACCCTGGAAACATCCTGAGATCCTAAATGTAACACGCCAACACTAAAGTCCACACGTGGTGTTATTCCGTTCACTGAAATGCCCGCAACTGACAAATGTGTAGATAGGGAGCAGTGGCCCCAGGCTGGGGGGAGGGGGTGTTGCGGGGATGGGGGGCGTAAGGGGACAGAGTAGGGGATGGTTTATAGGTACGGGGCTTTCTCCTGGGATGAAGAAAATGTTCTAAAATTGCTTGTGGTGATGGAAGAACAACTGAGAATATACTAGAAGCCAGTGAACTGTACTTTAAATGGGTGAACTGTGATGGTATGTGACTCATATTTCAACCAAGTTGTTAAAAATTCCAAGATAAAAACTCAGCACGGATCAAGGTGTTTCCGCCCGCCCCCCCCGCCCCCCCCAGTGACTCTGGGCCAGCGACTCAAACCTGTGAGGCGCGCACAAGCCAACGACATCTGTTCGCAGGCCTCTTTGGGATCACAGCGACAGAGACAGCACACTGAGGCCTTCAGACCAGGGTTCCATATGCAGTAACCAGGGCAGCACGGAGTGAAAAGGCGCTGGGGGAACCCACCAGCTCTTCCTGGCTGGGGCACCGCTCACTCCTTCCCTGGGGACCAGGGCTACACCCACCACACCTGTTTCTATGATCGTCAGGGCCCAAGGCCCCCAGGTCAACCCATGTGGGCCCTTGCTGCAGCCCACCAGGGTTCAGAAGCGGGTGGGTCAACTCCGGGATCCCAGTGGGGGCATACAACACTTTGCGGGCTTCACCTAATAAACCACCACCTGGGTGTCCGTAGACGCTGCCTCGCGTGAACTGTGCTGGGGGACTTCACACGTGTCCCCCACGGGGGACTGTTACTGTGGGCCACAGGCTGGGTGGAGCTGTGCTGTCCATCTGACCCTCGCAACAGCGTTGTGAACGCGAGCCCGTGCCCTCCAGCTCCGAGGGCCGCCCTGCTCCGCTGGACTGAGCTCCCGGCCAGAGCGATGCTCTGGCTGCTGCCTGGTGACCGTCCCGGCTGGACAAAACCAACAACCCATCTGATGAAACTCTAGAGGTCTCTTATGACGGGCAGCAGGGCTGGACAGGTATCAAGGCTTAGATGGCTCCAATAATCACTTTGGGGCAGAATCACTATGAACCCTCAGGAAGGGGCTAGTGATAAACTGGACCTTATACTTTTTAAATGTTTTATCCACTTGTCCAGGCTCTGGGTCCCAAACCCAGAAGGTGGTCCCTCCACCAGCACAGGTACAGGTCTGTTGGGACCACACCAGGCCCCACGGATTCCTGGTGGAAGTTGACTCTTCCAGTGTGACCCCTCCACCTCTTCTTTTTTTGGGAAAGGTTAAGGCTTTTGGAGGAAAGCAATGAATTTAATAATAATGTGTTTGGCATGTGTTCAGAGAGGGAGGCTTCTTATACTTCCAAAGGACAGAGCGTGTGTGAGAGCCCTGAATCACGGGAGAGAAATGGCTTTGGCCTCAGTGAACAGGAAGCTCCCTGCTTCCTGCCTATTTATATCTCTCAACACCCCCCAAATCCATCTGGGGATTCACAAGCCATGAGACGGTCTCTGGCTTCCCTTTCAACAGATTCATCTGCAGATGGTGTGCTGCTTTGAGATAAAGCCAGGAGCAGTGCACTCCTCTTAATCTGGAAGTAAGACAGCAGTTTCTCTAAGTAGTCACAGAGCTAGGGCTTCACCTCTGACTCATTGTTTCATTGTTTATGCACGAATATTTCCCATCACAAGCAACATATTATGGTGGGACAAACAAATACAAGTAAGGTGAGATTTACTAGAAAAAAGTATGTGGACACCTAGGTACAATGTAAAGTGGGATAAAATGCTTTAAAACAGAGCTATGCCTGCAACTGGTTTCAGTTGAGGGGGCACCCACGTGGGTGCCAGTTTGCTGTCACACTGGTCATCTGCCCTCATTTTGAAAAAAAAAAGAGAGGAGTAAACATCCTTTTCACTGGCGCCAAGGCTGGGAGGCAGGGCAGGGGCTCAGTGTAGATGGAACATTTATATCCAAGAGTTCTACGCAGGCAGGATTCACTTTTTAGAACTATTTTTGCCCAGAATAAACAAATGCTCTGCTTTTATAAAGTACCCCTGGTACTTGGAAGAAATCAGTGACCATGTCTTATACTTTATTCAAAGTGGATCAATACTGCAGGCTTTCAGGAGACCACACCCTTCACCATGAGAGCAGGTGTCTACAAGACAGTAAGTGAAGTGCCCCAGGGGACCACAACGTTTCTGTCCTAACAGACCTTCTCGTAACCCAGTCAGCCCATGTCAAGGGACCTCTCCACGCGCACCTGCCTCGAGAGGACCCGGACTTCTCAGCACGCACGCCCACAGTGAGCAACAAGGGCTGCCAACACCAACCAAGCACGAGGTGAGCGACCCCCTCACCCCTGATGTACGTCCCAGCGACTCCGTGAGCGAGGGATGGCTGTCCCTCTCTTTCTATTAAAGGAAAAGGGCCTGGGGAAGCTGATGAACCCTCCCAGCTCCCGTGGTGGGGAAGGATGCAGGTTTCTATACCTCCCTGTTGTCTCTCCAGGTCTGGGTAAGGATACAGACTTGGAACTCAGATCCTCATCAGGAGAGGATACCAAACTCAGTAAGCCCGGTGCCTGGAATCTAAAATCACACCTCATGCAATCTCAAGGAAATGCCACACCACTGCCATCTGCTCCAGGACCCAGATGAGGACTGACACTAAGCCAAGCCCACCCATACTCACCTCCGAGGCTGACACCTGTGAGGGTGTGCGACGTGCAGGACACCTGCTTCTCCCGTTAGTCTGTCTAAGCTCCCTCCCTGGAGGTATGTCACCTCACCCGAGGCCAAAGAACACAGATCCTGTGACCCTGGCTTCCAAAGACCCGCCCCCACAGCAGGAAACCCTCTCCCCACCACTGTTCGGGGTCCTGGCCCGACACCTGGGGGAGCCCTGCCAACAGCTCTCACTCTGATTACTCCCAGGGGACGGCTGTCTCAGTGAATGCATTGTCTCTTCTCTCTGAGCACATATGTCTTTTTTTTTAAATTGTTTATTTCTTGTTTTTATTTTTTTTAGTTGCACTGGATCTTCATTGCTGCACACAGGCTTCCTCTTATTGCAGCGAGCGGGGGCTTCTCATTGCAATAACTTCTCTTGTTGCAAAGCACAGGCTCTAGGATGTGCTGGCTTCAGTAGTTGCAGAGCACAGGCTTAGCTGCTCCACAACACGTGGAATTTTCCAGGATCAGGGATCAAACCTGTGTCTCCTGCACTGGCAGGCGGAATCTTATCCACTGTACCACCAGGGAAGTCTCTGAGCACATATTTCTCGCTTCCCCTTTCCTGCCAAAACACACTCTGACTGGAGGAAATCAACCCTGAATCTTCACTAGAAGGACTAATGCTGAAGCTCCAAAACTCTGGCCGCCCGATGCAAAGAGCTGACTCACTAGAAAAGACCCTGATGCTGGAAAAGACTGAAAGCAGGAGGAGGATGGGGTGACAGAGGATGAGATGGTTGGATGGCATCACTGACTCGATGGACATGAGTTTGAGCAAACTCCGGGAGTTGGTGATGGAGAGGGAGGCCTGGCGTGCTCCAGTCCATGGGGTTGCAAAGAGTCAGACACTACTGAGTGTCTGAACAACAATACTACTCAAATGCTGAACTGGCCTGGGACCACCCCCATCTGCCCCACTGTGTCCCCCTAGAGCGGGTAAACCACCCCAGTCCTGGTGCAGCAGACAGGCCACCCAGGGAGAACAGGGCTGGAGCCTTGGGGGGCAGGCCAGGCACTGCCCTGACCCCCGGTCACCCATCACTTCTCTCAAGGACCAGTGTGCGGCCTGGGTGGTTTATGCTTTATACGATAAGACTGGTAGGAAATTCCCCTGCTGTCAGCTCTGCCTCAGTGGGCCGGCTGGGTGCATGATGAGGCACGAACATGTCCTAATCAGGTTTTGTGTCAACAGTTAAAACAGAAACAAAAAGTTTCTTGAAGGGAACGACACACTCGACATTTGCTCTGAGGACCAGACATAACCACGTTATCTGTGACAACCCACCCTCTCAGCGGCTCAGAATTCAGAGAGAACTCAGGTGGGAGGGCGACGACCCTGCCCTGAGACAGAGGCAAGGCTGTGCCCACATAGATGGTGACACTCAGTGTTCCCCCCCAACCCCCAACCCCCAGGGAAATCTGCTTGCCTGTGGCTTCTAAGAAAAACTGCCACATCAGACACCCAGAAGGGTTGCAGAGACTTTATACACAACACAGGCTGATTTCTTCCTTAAAGAAGCAACAACCGATACACCCAGACTTTTTAGCCCCCTGCCTCTGGGGGCCCAGGGGGAAGCCAACCTTTGTTCAGCGGGCGAGACCCACCAGCCACATACGTACATGTCGCTGCCCGGGTTGGGTTTGACCGAGTCCTCAGTGGGGAGACAGCACTCCATGATTTCATTGAAGCCTGCGTTCCCGATATTCTTGGCAAGCTGCAAAAACAAAAGTCTGTTTCAGTGCACTCAATTATTAATACCTTCCACCGCTCCACACTACTCACACAGCTGATGATTTATTTAATGGTCGCTAAGAAATAGAGCAATAAAGCGGTTTGCCTTTAATGAAGTTGGACAAAACCCAAACCCCAGAGGTACCCATAAAACCAGAGACAAGAAGCGCCTGTTACAGAGGAGGGCTCTCGTAAAACGTTCCCTGGACAGAAAGCCTCCGTGGACTGGGAGGAGCAGGAACTTGGCTCAACTCAAGTTTCTATTCTTTCCCCAACCTCCCACCCCAAGAAGAACCTGCGCTCTGGCTGAGAGAGATCTAACAGCCTTTACTCTTGCCAGTGAGGGGGGGACCTGGGCCAGGAAGCCAAGATTCGCATTCAATCGTGGTTCTATTTACTGGCTTTGTGACCACAGGCAAGGCAGCTTCCCTGAGCTTCGGTTTTTTAATAGAAACATGGGGATGATACCTACCTTGCCAGCCTGCAAATAATGATAAAATGGGATTTTATGTGAAAGCATTCAATACACTAAAGCACTGAAAACACGTCTGTTTCAAGGTAAGGTTCTCACTTGCTGATCAACCCCCTGACCTAGTTAGAAAGGAGGTTTCATCGCTGCTCCCTGACACAGGCTCTGTGCTGGATGCGGCGGGTACCACGTAAATACCACGGCTGGTGGCAGCCAGGCCACCCAGCAGAGTGGCACTTGGCACACTCCTGAACGGATGCACAAATCCGGAGTGACTGGGGTCTTAGGAGCAGGGACTTATTTGTCCCACCCCCAGCACCCAGCTGAGCACCTAACCGAGGTGGGGTTCTTTAACATCTAGCGAAACAAAGAAACCGAATGTGAACACCGGGCCCAGTGCAGATCAGGTGACTGGGGTCTTAGGAACAAGGACTTATTCATCCCACCCCCAGCAGCCTGCTCAACACCCGATGGAGACTGGGTTCTTCAACATCCAATGAAACAAAGAAACTGAACAGGAACACCAGGCCCAGTGCTTTGCAGAGAGCAAGTATTTTCATTTCCCATTTCCATGTTGAAAACGACAACAGTGGGAGCAGGGACACTTCTGGGGCTTCTGCCCTCAGTGAACCACATGGACACAGGTGAGCGGGGTGTTCTGGGAAGCTAGGCTGTGCCCGAACGGCCTCTCTCAGGGGGCGCGGCTGAAGGAACAGCCAAGGGGTCTGGCTTGGAGAAAGCCACGCTTCCTGGTGGCCGGTCACACGACATGGAGAGGGGGTCGTGGTGGGGGTGGGGTGCGAAGGACAGAGAAACACGCCAACTTCATGATCAGGGTGGGGAGCCTTCCTGAGTCTTCCTAGTCCTTGTGAACCAAGTTCGGGACGTCCTGAGTCCCAGGCTCTCAGGAGCCGCTGCCGGGGCCTCAGGCCGGGCCCCGGGGCCTCTGGTCGGGCCCCGGGGCCTCTGGTGGCAAAACTCCAGGTGCCTCACTGCTCTGTCTCCGGAGACAAAGCTGATGATCAGAGTAGCAAGCCACAGTGGGTGACGCGGCGTACCAAGACTCTAGACTGAACCCCAGCGTTGGGGCCCCGGTTTAGAGCCAGGCACCTGCTAAGGCCCCACCACTCCGCACAACAAGAACAGCATCCCACAGCCAAACATAGCCACCTTCAGGGGGGTTGCCAGGACAAGCCCCTGCACCGCCCCCAGGAGCCCCCGGGGCCGTGGGCAGACGGGAGGGGGCGAGGGGAGGAGGAGGATTCCCTTCTGCTGGGCTTGGCTGGCTCACAGGGGCCAGCTGGTCCAGGGGGCCACCACGGCTGTGCATCACAGCTGCCCAGCACGGGCAACGGGCCACCTCACAGCCTCGCCGAGTCCTAGTGGATGGTCTAGCCCGCGGAGAACCGTCTGGAACCAGGAGCCAAAGCACAGCATTTACAAATGGAGGGTGCAGCATTGTATCAAGAAGACGGGGGTCCAGCAGGATAGGGCAGGAGCCAGGGCAGCAGGAAGGCCGGTTAACCAGCCCCGACCCACACGGCCTCTGCTCCCAGAGCACTGTCCCTGGATGGGGGGCCTCGTCGAGGGGACACGGGGCCCCAGCAGATCTGGGGGGTCTGGGGCACTTACAAGCCGTGTCATCAGAGAAGTGAGCCTCAGGGACGGCCAGAACACACATGGGGCCCTCGGGCAGGCTGGGCTCTAGGCCTGCTCCAAGGGGCTCAAACAAGACAGAGGTGAACAAAAAAGCAAAGGAAGGGACCTGTGATGAGGGCTGAACCAGCAATGCAGGAATGGAGACAGCAGGATGGTGGGAGAGCAGGGGTCTGCTCTAGACGCACCCCCCACCCCATGCCCTGGGACTGCGTCTCCCTGATGTACAAAGCACCTGAGGATGGGGTCCAGGAGTGACACATTCCTGGAGACCTGGGGCACCTACCCTCTCGGGCCCCTGAGCCAGAAAGGGGCTGTGGGTTCTCTCTAGAGATGGTTTCTAGAGTTTGGATGAGGACGGGGAGCCTCCGGTGCCCTGTTTTCATGCTTCCGGGTGGAAGGTCATGATTCCTGAGATATTCTGTCTTCCTGTACTTGTGCCGGGAGAAGAGGAGTGGACAGTGAGAGAAAAGACCTCCCTGCCCGAGGGGCTTGGAAGGACGGACACCCCTGGGACACCCTCAGGATGCAGCGCCAGGTGGGTCTGCCCCTCTGGCCCCACCTGGGCCCCGAGTCCAAGTCTTGGATTCAGCTACCCGCACACGTGGGAACCAGGTCAGCGGATGCAGTGGTTTTCAGCAATGAATTGGACCTTCAATCTCCCAAGTGGTTCCAAATCCACGCAGGAAAATGGGGTGTCGTCTCCTGGGCCCCCTCAGGTCCCAGAAGGTTGGAAAGCTTGGAGTGCATGGTACACAGATGGATAAAAATGGCTCTGGGAAAATGAAAGAACTTGACCCTTGTAGGCAGAGCTAAGAAACAGCAGTGAGCTCTTAACTGCTGCCTCCAAAGAAGGGAGCACAAAAAAATACTCTGAAAAAAACTGTTTCCCCTGAGCCTTTAAAATGTCTACTTTAGATATATTTTATGAAGTATACAATACACTTCTTAGTAAGTAAGACAAATGCAACTATACATTACATAGAGGTCTAGGTTTTGGTGCTCAATTTTTTCTGATAAGGTTTTTGGTTTTTAAAAAGTTCTTAATTGTGATTTAAGAATAAACCCCAAAACAAAGCTCTTGTTCAGGCTAGATAAGACAAAAGACCTGGGAAGATGTCTGGAGCATGACAGTCACTCAGTAAATGGGGGCTGATGCTGCTACTTCCTGTTGCTCTTCGTAGCCTGAATGGCTTCATTTCAGCCCCGAGCTAAACAGCGGGGTCATCTGTAAGGAGGCTCTCAGTTTCTGAGGGTTTTCCTCTCCCCTCTCTTGCGGATCCAGCTGTTAGTTCATTTGCTTTACATTTAATAGCTTGTTAACAACCTCAGGAGAAGGAGGCATGAGGAGGTCACAAAACGGGCTTGAATCAGGATTGTGTGCTCCTGGGGTTTCTGACCCCATTCTCTAGGTGATTTTTAAATTACTGTGGATGCTTCAGTCGTGTCTGACTCTTTGCAACCCCAGGGACTATAGCCCGCCAGGCTCCTCTGTCCATGGGATTCCCCAAACAAGAATACTGGACTGGGTTGCCATTTGCTTCTCCAGGGGATCTTCCCAACCCAGGGATCAAACTCGTGTCTCTTACGTCTCCTACATTGGCAGGCAAATACTTTACCATTAGCACCACCTGGGAAGTCCTTTAAATTACTGACTCAAATTCAATTACAGATCACTGAGGTTTTCTTCAGTAACTTCACTTACAATGTGAAACTGATCATATGAAACTAGGAGTCTCATACCAACAATACTGTTCTATGAACGACCTAAAATCAGAGCTGAAATCATAATCTTCTGTGTTAAGGAGAAAATTCATCTTTTCAAAATCTTTGCTTTTCAGGAGGCTTTCTGAAAGTAGAGTTGCTTTAACATCTAAGGGTATTAAGCTGGTGCACGCCAGTTAAGATGGCACAGCTTCCCTGAACTAATCAAATTAATATTTCAATTACCCCAGTTTCCTTCCACTGAATAAGAAGTGATTCCAGGAGAAGGAAAAGGGAAGAAAAGATGACTGCCAACCAGCCACCTTCACGGATGCTGCTAAAACCACTCGACTAAACATGGGACTTCATCATGCTTGAAACAAAAACAAATTAAAAAGGAAATGGTGAAGCACCACATCAGGGGAAGCTGTTTGCAAGACAATTTAGACAGAATTAAAGACTTCCATCATGAGGGCTACGCTGAGGCCATACGGGGGGACAGGGGCAGCATTTTACGGGGTGAGCATCTGTCTGTTCAGAACGCAATGCCGACAGGAAACAAAGCTTCCTGCTCATGTCTCTGCTGTCTCGATCAGGCTGTTCGAAAACCCCGTCTCTTGTCACAGGACCCCCTGGTGCTGGGACCCTGGCTCGGGGCAAGCTGCAGCCTCGGATACGCCGGCAAGTCCTTCCTCCTCCAGTTCACCATCGTATCTCTTTCAGAGAGTACACAGTGTCTAGTTACCATGTGCGACCCCAGAAGACACACTCCGATGAACACACCAGCCCAGGACCCTGACACCACGGCTCTGTGAACCTGAAAAGCTCACAAAGGGAGCAGTTGGTCCAGTTGGAGGATTCACACGTTACGACACGCGAATCATTCTTCTGGGAGGATTTTGTTCCAATCTTTCTGGAGGAGGAGAGGACAATACTTGATAGTTCTTACTATGCACCAGGTGGAATTCTAAACACATACATGCACATACAGGATGTGCGTGAGTCAAGCCTTCAGGAGATCTTTTGTTCAGGCAGCATCTGTCTAACCAAAATAACTGGGTGCTTTAAAAAGGCTTGAAATTCTCATGCTTTACCAGTGTTATTAACACCTGACACACACTCTCCGTCATACCGGAGGAGTGAGGGTCTGGGTGTGGGATCATGCCCGCAGTAACTGGGTTGGGGTGAGAGGCAGGGAGACATCCCCCTCCTGCAAGTGGCTAGAGTTCAGGGCAAAGAGAGGGTGGGAATAAACCCCACGTGATTCAGGCTTCTGCCCTTTTGTTTTTCGGATAATCACGGAGGAAAAGAGGCTTAGATAAGGGAGTTCAGGCAGAGATTAGACATCAGAAATAGTTGCAGCTGTCAGTTAAGCGGCCTCTGCCTGGATTTCTCCACAATGGCTGAGTTGGTGAGACTGTAAACGCCTGAGAGATTACATAGATGAGGCTCTGAGAGACAGGAAGGAAGCTCTGAGCCAGGGATCAGAGGTCACCTCCTCCTTTCATCGAGAGGGAAACATTTTCCTTCCAGCCCTCTTTGGCGCTTCCCTCTGCAGTAGGCAACAGTCTCATGTAGACCATCAGATAAATTTCTGAGACGTATTTAAGCAGGTGTAACAGATGTGCTGGTATCAGGCTCCCACCAGCTTAAACGAGCTCAGCTGTTAAACAGTCATTATTAAAAATTACATTCTGTAAACTCACGATTAAATAAACTACACTAAGGAATTCCCTGGTGGTCCAGTGGTTAGGACTCCACATTTTTCCATTGCTGGGAACCCAGGTTTGATCCCTGGTTGGGGAACTAAGATCCTGAAAGCAGTACGGTGTGGTTTTAATATAAAAATTATACTAAAAACAAAGTAGTCCTCAAAACTCATCACTTCTGATTTTACTACATCTTACTATTCTATTTTTGAAGGTACTTGCAACAACAGTGTCTTGTGTGGTGAGCTAACTATATGTGTGTGACCAAACCTCTTTCTTATGGCTCAGTGATTCACATGGTAGCCTGAAAATGGCCCCAGTGGGAGTGTTTACATCATGTGACTGAGCAGACTACAAAGCAGGACGTCTTTGCCTTCCAGACAGTTGGCTGTAGACACTGTCAGGGATGGGGAGGGGGGATACGGAGGGGCTGCAGTGAGGTTTATGCACTCCCCACGGGGTGAGCCTTAGGGGGTTAAGAGTGTGAGCTCTGACTAAAGAGGCCCCCACTCCAGACCTGGTATGTGGATAACACATAACCTTGGGCTTGTTACAACATTCTAAGCCTCAGTTCCTCTTGTAAAATGGGGATAATACACCAAGGCCACAGGGTTGAAGAGCAAATGAGCTAATACACACAAAGTGCTTTGCAAAGTGCCTCACGCAAAATCAGCAGTTAAACCTCAACATAAACCAGTTAACACTTCCCACTGTTTTTTTTTTTTTTAATCACTAGGTCGCAAAGAGTCGGACATGACTGAGTAGCTGGACAACCACATGGGCTCTATAGCAGCTGCCCTGGTTTAGCAGCGCTCAAAGAAAATACACGTAGGGGTTCACATCTACGCTGTCCCCAGTTACCAAGGTTTCATGTCCGCGCTGTCTCCAGTTACCCAGGACACTGCCTGCACACACAGATCTATGACGGAGCCTATGTGCGTTATGACATTAACAATAACCGTACTATGTAACAAAGAATATTCTGCTTGGGTCTTGCCAAGGATAGCTTAGTTTTAAACTTCAATTAATCAGTGATGCTGCTAACTGGACTACCAGAACCCACTGTAATTTCTCCCAGCTTTGTCTTTCAAGACCATAAAGGAATTCCTTGGAAAAGACATGAAGGATTTGTTTGACAAGATAGTTCAAAACGCATTACAAGTTCAGACACGTCGGTTCCAGAATGATCATCAATGAGACTTATGGCCCCTCGAGAGGTCTGTTGGCCACAGCAATTGATTTTCTGCCAAGACTATTGCTCTTGACATGAAAATCAATGGTAATCAATATCCTCTTAATATTTACTGTCCAATGCTTGGTTATCTCAACAAAGAACTTCAAACACTGCCTTCTAATCAGCAGTTACAGACTCTGAAAACACTCCAAAGAGCTCATGCTTTAGGTGTCCCCAAAGCACTTGTTCCTTCATGGGACCACAGTCTCCAGGCTCCGAAAGTCACTTCACAGAAAAATGCTTCAACCTCTAATAGTGATCTATAGTGCATGGCTATGTGTATCTCTGAACCAAGAATGAGTTTTGTTTGTTTGTTTTTTAAAGAAACACAAGCAGTAGAAGCAAATATCATTATTTCTCCCAAAAGGCAAACAACAAGGGGCAGAGAAAAAGTCCACCCGAGGCTCAAGCCAGGTAGTGACCGCAGACTCGGCAGAACCTGGCCGACGACTTTGGAGAAGGAGTCTTTCTTGTCTCTGGGCTTTGGGCTCCGTGTCCTCTCAATGCCTGGGGAGAATTCGGACTCTGCCAACACTCATACCAGTCTCCACGCTCCTTTACGAGTTCTCTTCCATCTTAGTCATTTAAGAATAAAGCTTTGCAACCCTCAACCTCTAGTAGCTGAGGAGGAGGGATTACCCATGAGTTTCTAATTACCCAAATGTACTTGGCAATATCAACAGCTACCAGGCTCAGGGGAATTGTAGGAGACCAAAATGGAAACCTCGCATTCAGCTCATCTGTGTTCACTCCAAAATTCCAAAATCAAAGGACTTAAAGCTTACCAGCAGTTCGGACGTTCCTAACACGTCTAGCGTCAGGGACTGCATCCTGGAGTAGTGAACGCCCAGCTCCCTGTGGATCCCGGAACATTCGATGCAGGTGAGAACGCCGAGGTTGGTGGAGAGCCACGTAGGATCTGCCAAAGATAGCAAGGAACACCGAAGCTTGTAAGGAGGGGCCAGGGTCAGGACTTGGTTCTTGTATAGTTACTACTCAACATGGAGTTTTGACGCACCATGCAGCCAGATCCCAGGTGCAGTGGGAACCCTCATCCATCACTAATTACCACTGGTGGCTCAGATGGTAAAGAATCTGCCCCCAATGTGGGAGACCTGGGTTCGATTCCCAGGTCAGGAAGATCCTCTGGAGGAGGGCATGGCAACCCACTCCAGTATTCTTGCCTGGAGAATCCCATGGACAGAGGAGCCTGGTGGGCTACAGTCCATGAGGTCGCAAAGAGTCGGACAGGACCGAGCGACTGAGTACACACACAAGTCACACACAGTGCACAGGTGCACATATTTACTCCCCTTCTTCCTACAGCTCCACCTGCCCATCCTTCCATGCATTTAATAAATGCTCCCAAGGGACAGGGCTGTGTGTAGAATAGGACACAGTGCCCTCTAGCGGTCATGGGTCCCTGGACACAGACCACACCCACCAGCAACCAGGTTGTATCAGCAAAGGGGACAGTCTAGTGCCACATGGGGGACAGTCTTAATTCATATGTCTGTATGTCAAAGATGCTAATAATACCAGCAGAGAACACATACTATGTGCTGATGCCAAGCTCTGCTCAGCACAGAGCTGAAGCGATTACAGTAGGAACAGCTCCACCTGTAACAAGAGCTTCAGAAATTACAGGTGCTTTCCTTTAATAGCTCATTTAACACATATAGGAGGACCTGGATGCAAACAGGGCCGGTGCCTTCACGATCTGGCTCAGAGAGGCCAGGGGTCTTCCTTGACACTGCGGAATGAAGACTGCAGCCCTTGCCTTTACCCAGGTTCAAACCCAGCTTGCATTGCATGTTCACTTATTTGCTAAAGTGTCCTAACCACATGCCACAGTTAAGCAGTCAAGATAGGTTTGCTGCATGCTGGGTTTACTGAAAAACTCGGAATTCAAAATAAAACACACTTGAGCACAGTCCGGAAGTTCAATTCTCTTTTTAGAACTGCTTGTTTGCCCTCAGAAACTCATTGCAGGTAAATACCGTAACCTTGGTCATATGAATCGTGAAGTTGTTTTTAAAATGTTCAAGGTATAGAAATTTTATCTGAGTTTGGAAACACGTCTGGGCACCTGTGTTTCCACTTTTTTGGACCTATCTGCTGTTATCAACTGTGTCATGCTTAGTAGACACATGCTTTAATATGTCATGTCATATTAAAGTACGCTATTAATACTTTATAGTCTTAGCATTGTCTTAGCATTTTAAAACAAAATGTTGTAGCTCTTTGTTTCTTACAAGAGTGTTTTAGAAATCCAAGTGTGATTTACTACTTTTGCTACCCACCTCATCTCCTGCCAAAGACATGTTATTAATGGTCCAAGGCCTCAGGAGGTAATTCTTCAAATTACCCCCAAATACAGCCTCCAACCTAACAGGGACCCCCCGCCCCCCACCATGGCACGTCTCAACTGTCCACTCTATCTTTGCTTTGTTTTCAATAAAAATCATCATAGAATTAGAGGAACGAGAAGGTAAGTGGCCATCCTAACCAAGCCACAACCTTTCCCATTTTACAAATATTCAGAAAACACTACTCTGCAGCTCCCCTGACACCATTCCATCTGAATTATAAGAGTAAGCCAACTCTTTAAACTTTTAAAGTACTGTTTGTTAAAATCTACAATGATAACTCCTGTCCATTAAAAATGAAACCCCAGCGAATGTTAAAAGTTGCTACAGTTGTGTCTGACTCTTTGGAATCCTATGCACTGTCACCCCCAGCATCCTCTGTCCATGGGGTTCTCCAAGCAAGAATACTGGAGTGGATTTCCATGCCCTCCTCCAGGAGATCTTCTGGACCCAGGGATCAAACCCATATCTCTTACATCTCCACACTGGCAGGCAGGTTCTTCACCGCTAGTGCCACTCATGAAGCCCAGCAGGCTTTATCAAAACTCAGAAATAAAAACCTCATTTCACAGAACACGGCAGCTGGAAGGGGCCCACAAGCAGTCTGGACTGGTCCCTTCGCTTTCCAAACAGGAAAACCGCCATCTGACAAAGCCAGTGGCTCTTCCAGGGCCACTGGCGAGACAGCGGCTTAAAGCTGCCGCAGACGTGGTACAAAGAGAGGGTGGATCAAACCCCGGAAGGAGCCGCAGCCTCCAGCCAACAGTGACCGGTGACCCTGGCTTCACCCTCGCTGTGTGCTTCTATTTCCAGTTCTCAGAAAGCGTTTATAAATTTCAGCTCTCTCCCCTCCGGGGCCTGTCCTGGGGCTGGGAGGCAGGCACCCTCTCCCCAGTCTGCACACAGTTCAGGGAGCCCGGGCTGGGCTGGGCTGCTCTGAACTGGACATGTGACAGGACAGCAAAAATCCGTGACCAGGTTCCACAGCCCCTGGGCTGGGAGGGGGCGGCTGGGTCACCTGGCGCCCCGCAGTCACAGCACACGTCGTTGCCCGTCATGCCCTGGACCTCCGAGATGATCTCCTTCGTCAGCTCCTGGACGATGTTATTTTCCCCTGTGTTGTCATCTCCCTTAAATGCGTTATTTAGAGCTTCTTCTTTGCTGTTTTGCAGCACAGACATCCATCTAGAGAAGTAACAGTGACGCTCTGTTAAATCCCAAGGACAATGGCCCATCCCAGGTTCCTCCGCTGCGTAACTTACATTTGACACTCCTGTTCATCCTCGGCTTGAAAGTGGTACGTCCTGTCATCTGCAGGGCAAGGAAGGGGTTTTTGTCAACTGTAAGCCTGGACAGTAATTCACGCACAATTCCAAAAGAAAGCGGTTTGTAATTAACCTCGGGAAGAGTCTAAACTCCACTAGGAAGTCAATGATTTGTGTACAATCAGGCACTCCCACCCCTTCGCAGGCAGGCCCTGGCTTGGAAACTGTAGCTTTGTGATGCAAATTAGCGAGCCGCCTCTGTTCCTCCATTCAAGTCTAAAGAGAACAAAAGTCTTTTTTTTTTTTTAACTTGCTAGAGTTGATCCCCAATTGCTATGGCCCTTTGAATAGTATGAAACCCTTTTCTAGAGCAAGGATGTTACAAGCTTTCTGGGTTCTTTTTACAAGCTCTTCTGGGTTCTTTTCTTTTCTGGGTCCCAAAATGTGTAACATCAGTCCAGTTGTGGGAAAGCATCAGAGGAACACAAACTGAGAGCCAGGCGACTAAAAAGCTGGTCAATAATTCTCAAAGTATCAAAGTAATGAAAGACAAGGAAAGATACAGGACCATTATAGGCTGTAGGAGACTAGGATGAAATAGCAGTAGCAATGTGAAGCCCTGGGACAGAAAAAAGGACACTAACAGAAGAAATGGTAAAATGTGAATAAGATTCTCAGTTACGGGCATCGCAGACCTGCAAACATCCTGGTTTTCATAGCTCCAGACATGGCCAGGAAGTGGTTCAGATGGTAAAGAATCTGCCTGCGATGCAGAACACGTGGGTTTGATCCATAGATCCCTGTGTCAGGAAGATAGATCCCCTGGAGTAGGATCACCCAGGATTCTTGTCTGGAGAATCCCATGGACAGAGGAGCCTGGTGGGCCACAGTCCATGGGGTCGCAAAAAGTCGGACATGACTGAGTGACTAATGCTAACGAGCTAATGGCATTAGGCAGTTCTGTACTAAGCTGTCAGAATTAGGAGGGCTGGATAAGGGATATACAGAAATTCTGTCTACAATCGGTCCAGAAACAATGTAAAAAAGAAAGTTAAATTTCAAACACAAAAAAAGAAAGAAAAGGGGGTGAGGGAGATCCAAGTTCTGTAGACAGCAGGGCAGGGCTGGGCAGGGCCTGTACTCTCTCTGGGTTCACAATAAACATCGATGCCCCTCAAAGTAAGCAAACACAGCATCTCCAGCCTCTGCTGTTATTACACTTGTGCAAGCGCTTCAGTCCTCAGGAGACTTCTGGTGAGCTGGCCAAGAGAAGGCTGAGGCCCAGAGAGGTGAAGGGGTAGGAACGAGTGCATCAGGTTTTCTGACTCCAGGTTCCAGCCTCCTCCTACCTTTCTTCTGACACCCAGGGGGAATCCTACCCCCACCCCTGTTACTGAGGAAAGTAACAGGGTTTAAGAGAACTGCGTCAAGTTCAGAAAAATAAACTTGATCCTGAAGTGCAGATGTTAGTGGCCGAGTGGGACGTCACTGCCAGGTGCTGGGAAGAGAGGAGAGGCCACTTTCCCCACCTCCAGTCTACCTGGGGTGCAGGGTCTCACCCACCCCAAGCAGACCCCGGGTCCTGGGGAAGCCCTTGCCACGGCAGGTTGTCCAGAGGCCCCAGTCTGACATCAGGCTAACACCCTCCATTCTCCCCAAGTCACTTCATGGGCAGACCAGGCACAGGCCCCGAGGAAAATCAAGGAGATGGGGTAGGGTGGGGAGACAGCAACTCACGTCTGTAGCTAATTCTGTGCTCTAGCACGTGAATAGTGGGGATCGGGAGAAATTCTCCGTGAAGACTGCCAAATAAGAATTCCCTGGCATGCACACTAAACAAGATGCCTTTACACCAAGAACAGTATCTAGGAGCTTCAGCTGGAGGGAGAAGAGCAACAGGATGTGGTCGGAACCCCGCTATGCCAGGTCCCGGAGTGGGCTGCTCCTCCACTGTGGGCTCGGACTCCAGCTGGCCACCTGCCTTCCGTGTGGACCCTGAGGATCCATCCCACTTAGGAGACTGACCCAGACCGTCTCCAGCTTCTGCACCTCCCACCCCACAGAGTGGATCACGTGATCTGAGGCTAACAGCTCAGGACTTGGATTTGTAAATGGAGGGGAGGGGGGAGGGTATCGAGGGCAAGGGGGTCAGACATGCTCCCGGAATGGCTGGCCTGGCCACAGGAACGTCCTCCTTGAGCAGCCAGGCTCACTGACAGCTTGATCAGCACGGCAATCCCCCTCTGGGGGAAAGATGGGTAAAGGAGGATCCTGCGGAGAAACGGCTGAAGCCAGCGGTCTGTCTGTCCTTCTTCTGGGCTCTCTGGGTGACAGATTCAAGCTGGCTTTGCAGGGTGAGGCTCAGGAGGAAGGGACGCTCCTGGGGGCTTGGTGGACCCACACCCGAAACCACACCCTTGCTGCCCATCTGTAGTTTAACTTGTGTTTCCTTCACCACCCACGTGTGTTAAGAGAACAAAGGTGTCTTGGTGATGCCAGCCCCCAGCAACCCACTCAGCAGGAAGAGTCAGACAGTCAGGTCGGAGGACAATCCCCAGCCTCTCAGGAGGCTGATTCCCCCGCCTCTCAGGAGGCTTATCAGGCCAGGGTCTTCTCACTTTGCCTTGTCTCCCTTGATCGTTCCAGGGGCTGTGAGCATTAAACTACATAGTAAACTCCCCAGCCTCAATAATACAACCCCACACACGTCTTTAAAAGCCTCGCGATCTGAGGAGAGACTGAGGCTAATAAGACAGCATTCATCTTCAGGGGAGGTCGAGAGGCCTCACACCACAAAGGAGCAGACTGTGGGGTTCTTCTGGGTGTGCCTCCAAAACAAGCAGCACAGAGGAGCAGAAACGCTGATTCTATGGTGGGAAAACAAGTCGATTTCCAACCTGCGGGTCTCAAGGGCTCTGCTGGGGGCCACATCACGCCAATATGACAGTGTTTCTAACACCCCCCAAGTCAGTGGAGCTCTGAAGACAGAGTCACCCTATTTTCACAGTGAAAAGACTATAGGCTGGAGGGTTGACCTAGCACAATCTCCTTGTTTACAAAGAGGAAACCGGAGGACCGGGAAGCGGAGAGGATGTGGCGGGTTTACAGAGCTCCTGAGTGGAGCAGCTTCCTGTCCTCAACCCAAGAGACCAGCAAGCTGACCGTAGTTACCAGGGGGAGGAAGAGAGGACGCAGTCACCGGGAAAAAGGCATTTCTCCGTGAAAACCAATTCTTCAAAATGCACTGCTTGAAATGGGGTTGATGCCCTAGACGAGAGTTTAAAATAATTTCTCTGCAGCCGAGTGTCTGAGAAAGAAGCTTACGTGAAATTAGGTCAAAACACTTCTTCTCCTCGGGGTTGGTTTTCACTTGGCAGGTTAACAGGTTAAGCTTTGCGGGAGGCCGGTTAGCCTGTTGAAAGACAAAAACAAAAAACAAAAACAGAGCTGGGTGGAAAGGAATGGGAAACCACAGCATCATTCCTCATCAAAATGCAGCAAGAACAGGGTCTTGTGGGGCTGCAAAGACAGCAACCAGAAGGCAGGCTTTCTCTGGAAGGCACGACACAGGTACCTGGCAGGGTGTCCCTGGGTCTCGGCTCCCAGGAGGCAGCTGCCCTTCCCTACAAGGGACACTCGGGGTCCCACACCCCGACCCGGGTGGGGGGACAAGTGATGCTGGGCCAGCTTTGAGGTCCAAGGGCAGTGGGCTCCCTGAGATCAAAATGCTCCTTGGCCAGAGCCCAGAGGCACTCTGTCCTGATCAGCTGGGAACACAGGCTCCCAGATCAACTTCTAGTGACCTCAAAGTGTTTTCCTGAGCACTTTCAGGGAGAGTAATCTCAGGACACACACATAATAGCGGAATCATATCCCCAGCTTTCTGAAATAATGACAGATGATAGATTCATGATCCTTAATACCAGCCATCTGTGACTGAACTTTCCACAAAACCCACTTCATTCACGTATGTATCCCCTCCCTGCTCCACACACAATGGTAACAAGAGATCACAGCATCCTTTTGTCAGAGACGTGGCAAAAATGACTACTTTACTACCATTTCAAAAACTATCATAACTAGTCCCCAGGAAGCAAAGGGCAGAGCATAAGAAGATAATTTCAGAAAAAAATAATTCCAAATGGCAAAATGCCCTCAGAAATCTTGGAGAAATCTCCCAATATGAAAGGCTTGTCTTACCACCCACCACGCTGCTAAAGCAGAGACGGAGTCGAATGTCTCAGAGTTCAGCTGTTCTTACTCACCCTTCCCGAGGCCACCAGCCGAGGCAAGAAACGGCAGACGCCTGGATGTGGGACTAACCAAGACACACACTCACATGCATCCACACCTGAGCAGACCAGCATTTACAGACCCACCTCAACTGAGCTTGGAGTTGAGAGGGCCTCCATTCCAAGAGGACTGACCCTGGCAGCGTTTGATAAAAGGAACTTGGGGGTGAGCAGGAGCTGGACAGTCAGGGTTGGACTGGACTCTCCTGCTCACGGCCATGCTGCCCTCATCCCTCACGTGGAAATCACGGGGTGTCCATCACAGCGGATGCCCAACTGACACCCCGGGTCATCAGAAATCCCTGTTCCAGCACTCTATGCTCGGCCTGATCCAGCACACCTTGACAGTCCCAAGTACCATAAACCCAGTTTCGAATCTATATCAGGAGAGTTAACGGGCTCGGCGGGAACCAGATCTAATGGTATAGTTCTACAGTAGAAGCCCACACCACCACAACTGCGACCAAGCGCTTCCCCAAGGGGCTTGGCCCACAAGAGGTATCCGTCTACTGTGTTACCTCTTGGGATCCCACAAGTGTTCAGGTGCACTCAGGTGATGTCCCTGGACTACTTCCAAGTATTGATGTCCACTGAATCTAGATACAGGAGCGGTGACAGGGGTGATGACAGACCATGGTCAATGCAGAAATGCTTCCATGGACGAGAAGATGATTTTGAATAAGAATAGATACTTTTACTCAGTTGCTGCTATTGTTCTTGTGGTTATTATCGTATGTGCTTATATGAGGCAGGCACTGTTGAAAGCATTTTCAAAGAACTCACTCATTTAATTCTCCTAGGGAGGAACCGCTCCACCATTTACATAGAAAGTGACCCTAACAGTAAATCTGATGATGCAGGCACAGTTTGGAAGCAATGACACCAACCCTGGAAGCAGGCAGCCCGGCCCTGGAGCCTGAGCTCCTGATGGCCCTCGACACGGCTTCCTGGGAAGCAGAGCCACTACTGGATTATCTCTCGGTGTCCTGAGTGCAGCAAAGAACCACACTGGAGAGAGTGCTCCCCCCTCCCTCCGTCCCCCTCCAACCTGCCTTCTTTCATTTGCCCTGGGCAGTTGGGAAAGTGGTCCATTCTTACTGAGACACAACTTCTCTCAAAGACAGGCTTCCAACTTCACCGTGAGTGCGATACACACTATACTGTGTATATATACTGTATATACTGTGTATATATACCGTGAGATACACAATATACTGGAAAAACATCCAGTGCCTATCTATGAAACAGGAATGACGATGGAGTGAATGTGGCTACCGTTCCACAAGGACAACCGTGAGAATGGTCCACGACACACAGAAGCCGACCACATTGAGCTGTTCTGAGTTTTACACTAACAAGGGCTTGCTACTGGCCCATTTAGATTAATGATGAGTTTGCCAGCAAAGCTGTCCGAAAAATTCATGGGAGAAAAATTTTAAGCAGAGAACATTCTATCCATTAAATTGCCTCCGTGCTACAATTTTGGGGGCAATGCTCCCATCATTAAAATTCAGCTGTGGAACATGTCCGTCTAGTCCATCAGATACCAGTGTTCCTTGAGGGCCTAAGTTGAGGAGCCTTGGTTTAGTAGGAAAAAACTCAGGAAGGAGCAGAAAACAGACCTACAGCCCTAAGTGTGTGCCATGAAGACATGAGTTATTAGTGAGGCTCCATTTTAATCAGGCCATTCCATTTTCCCCCAATTTGTCAGGCTTTTAAAAAGGAAGCTTATATTCTTCCTTCTGCCTGATTGATAATCATTTAAAAAAATTTTTTAAAGATTTTCATAAGAGCCAACAGACTTTTCTCTTCCAGCTTGGTGCAGTCTCCAGTCTTTGGCAGTGTGGCAAAGCGATGAATCTGGCAAGGAGGATATCTAATTAGAGTCATTTTGTCCCAAGGATAACTTCTTTCCGGTGCCAGAAAACACAATTAGCCTTGGCTAACGGGGAATACCAACTTGGGCTTCCTACTGAATCCACCCTGGATGTCATCACTGCCCCTCTGCTGAAACACAGAAGATAACAATCTCGTGTCCCAAAGGCTGCCAGCTCCCAGGGAAGAAACTAGCTTTCCTATCAATGCGAATACACCCTGAGCTTCTGCACGACGTCAAGACCCAATTCTCAGCTGGGTGGCGGATTCTGCTCTTAAGATTCCCACTTACTTGGTCAAGTCTTGGAAAAACTGCCCCCGCCCTTTTTTTCTGATGGTAAATTAGCACACTAAGGGAGATGCTGGCTGAACAGGTAAGCTACACAAGGAGCCAGATTCAAACCAGACCAAACCAAACAGGCCTCTCTCCTTTCTCAGTAGAGGATTCATTCACGTGTGAACGCTCTGTGGGTGCAGTGGCACTGGGGTGTCGGGGTCTGCCTTCTGCAGCATACAGGAAACCCCACTGAAGAAAGAGGGCTGACTTGTTTCCCAGGGGAGGCAGAGGGACAAAGCCCCTACCTGCCACTCTTCTGGGCTGGAGGCAGAGGTCATCGAGGGCCAGGCAGCTAAAGGCAGGAGGAGGTGTCCAGAGAGAAGGACTCCCTGCAGCAGAATCCCCAAAGAGGAAACACTAACTCAACACGTGGTGGGGTGGCAAGCTGAACTGTCCCCACACTGGTAAAGCTGGTTATAACAGTAATATCTGCTGAAAACTGGGACAACCCGGCAACATTTAAAGAAAACTAAGCCTCTGTATCTTTTAAGAGGAAGCTCAAGCAACAGAAGTGATGAGAACCAATGTTGTCAGCAAAGGATTACCAGAAATGACCAGGCCTGTTGTCATCTCTGAAGTGCAGGCAGAACCACTCTGTGGTTCAAGCTGAGGCCCTGGGTCTCGTGGACACGCCAATGAAGCCGAAGAGACCCGATGACTTTAGGGCTGTAAACAAGCATGCAGGGAAACTCAGTCTTACTTTATAACATTTTCTGCACTGAGACATTAAACCTGAGTTAAAATAGAGTAGATAACAGTTGGAAAGCAAACCACAGAATCACAGGTGTTAGGGCAGGAAGGGAACCTGGCCTTCCTCCATTTTTTCCACGCTCCATGTTAAAGAGGATTGATGACTGAGTCAATCTGCTTTCCTTAGTCTACAGCACTGTCACCCCAACACACACATACACACACACACCCCTATATGGACAGAACATCACATCAGGACCCAGACTGCAAGGCCTCACAGGGACGAGGTGACTGTAAAGGCAGCCCAGAAAGGCCGGATTTTACAGAAGAGAAATGACCTTCAATTGCCCAGGCGAGAGCCCCATTCCACCCCCAGGTCAAAGGTCCCCAGAGACCCCTCCTGACTCTTGGCACCCACTACTTCTAGGGTCTCTCCCTCCCCACACAGAGTCAGGGGACATGAAGGAGGCCACCTCTCCCAGTGGAACACACACCATGCCGCAGTGCCATCCTTCGAGTGAGCTTTACTCTGTCTCCTTACTCCTCAACACGGACGAGGGCCGTTTCCCTGGAACCACACTGAGCCATGAGCTCCGTCCGGGCGTCCGGACGCCCAGAGAGCCTGTGTGCGCTCCTGCCCAGCTCTGCCCCTCCCAGGGGAGCTGGTGATGGCGGGGAGGGAAGAAGGCTCTTCTCCATCGTGGCCTGCGGTCAGGGCCAGGCCTCTGGCCTGGAGCGTGGGAACACAGGCCACCACCAGCGTCCTCTGTCACAGCAAAACGGCCACCAACTCCACCTCCAAACATTTAAGAAATGTCTACCAGCCTCCATGGCTTTCACCAGATCCCATGTCCATGCCCAGTAAGGTGATAACAAGCCTTAAGACCATCACAGACAAGGGCCGTGTCTATAACTGTGGTTACAAGTCCCGGTCTCTGCAAGCCAGATTAGCCAACCATCCTGTTCCAATTGGTTTTCCAATTGGCTCAGCCTATGCTGGCTCAGTTTCCTGCATGGGCAACTGTATACAGGGTTGGAGAAAAGAACCTGATGAAGGCTGGGTGCAGTGTGTCTGCAGTGAAGTTACTGAAATCTCTCCTCTCTTGGATTTCTGATTCCCAGAGTCCTGACCGCCTGCTTTTCTCTAATGGAAAAGAAGAAATCGTCCCAAGTACGACGTTCAATTTCCAAACACAGACCACCCAACTCCTCAGATGTTCCTGATGCTGTTAGGCAGCAAGGGCCCCTGATCAGGGAACCGTGAACAAGAAGCAGGTGTACCAAACAGAGGAGGAACCCAGACAAGCTTTTCTCAGCAGGAAACGTGTTTAAAATGCACCCTCAGGGCCAGCACCCAGGGCCGGGTCCCCTCACCAGGCCTCCAGCCCGCACCTCTCATCCCATTACCATGGGGACTGCGATGAAAGGATACTTACGGTGCCGTGGGAAATGGTCAGAAAGCCGTTTTTCACCGAACACTTCCTTTTCTGCCACACTTTTCGGATCCTTATAGATATGTGGGCGAAGATAAGGAGTTCAGATATTGTGGATGCAGGACACGACACCACACACACACACACCCCCAAGCCTCTAGCAATGCCGTCTATGTGCACACGCACCCCAAGCCTGTAGCAATACCATCTACACACACACACGCCCCCTAGCCTGTAGCGACGTTGTCTATACACACACACACACACACACCCCTAGCCTACAGCACACCATCTACACACACACACACCCCGCAGCCTGTAGCAACACCATCGACGCACACACACACCCTGAAGCCTCGAGCGATGCCATCTACACACATACACACACCCCTCAAGCCTCTAGCGACACCGCCTATACACACACACACTCCCTGCAAGCCTCTAGAGATGCGGTCTATGCGTGCACACACACCCTGAGCCTCTAACGGCGCCGTCTACACACACACACCCCTGCGCACACCCCTCGCCTGTAGCGACGCCGTCTACGCACCCGTCGCTCTTCTTGTAGAGGTTGCCGGTGCGCTCCGTGCCGTGCTCCTTGTTCCCCTGAGGCTGGTGTAAACTATAGGCCGTGCTCTGGCGCATTTGCAAATCCTGAAAAGGGTCAAGAAGTGAGTTGTTTTTAATCCTGTCCAGATTCCAATTTTCAAAATGCAGCACACAAAGACACTTAAGCCCTTACCAAAAAAAAAATTTTTTTTTAATTAGAGAATTCCCCCTCTTAAACACATCCAGAAAGGGACATACAAGTCATATCCTGGGACCCATAAATACCACCCACAGGCTGGAGAGTGATGTAACAAACACCGGCATCCCCAAACTGGCTGAAAGAAGGAGCGGCTGTCTGGCAGTGATTTGTGAAATTGCTTAGATTTCACTTATTTACAAGCCTTAAGTCCCTGATGGTGGCAAGAAGCTCCTGGAGCAGCAAAAGCAGCCTTTGAGAAGAAAGGAAACACAGCACGCTGACAAAGGTCAGGCTTTCAAGCAAAACACACAAACATTCCACCTCTTTCTTTAGGCAAGTTACTAAGCTCCCTGCCTCAGTTTCCTCCTGGGAAAACAGGAAACAACTTCTAGTCAGGACCATAAACCTAGGAAGGCTTGAGGGAGACCACCTGTGTGAACACCTGGGATGTTACATGAACAACACCCTCCTTCTGACCCCAGGAACCCCAGCAGCGGGGCCGCGGGCATCCCTCGGGGCAGACCGTCCACCCCGTCAGCTGAGAATCTGGCCCATTCCACCACACCTGGCAAACTCCAGCCTTCTTGAACTAATTTTTCATTATAGCGTGAGGCAGGGTCCAAATGCATTCTTTTGCTCTGGCTATCCTGTCCCAGCGTCATCTACTGAAAAGACGACTCTTTCCTCATTGGAAAGTGAAAGTCGCTCAGTCGTGTCTGACTCTTCTGTAACCCCATGAACTGTAGCCCACCAGGTTCTTCTGCCCATGGAATTCTCCAGGCAAGAGCACTGGAGTGGGTTGCCATTCCCTCCTCCAGAGGATATTCCTGACTCAGGGATTGAACCCAGGTCTCCTGCATGGCAGGCAGATTCTTGACCATCTGAGTCACCAGGGAAGCCCTTCCCATGGCACTGTCTTAACACCTTTGCTGAAAATCCACTGACCGTGAATGTGAGGGTTTCACTGATTTATGTGCCTATCTTCACGTCAATGCCACACTGTCCTGACTACTACAGCTTTGTGGTAAGTTCTGAAACCAGAAAAGCTGAGTCCTCCAACTCTGTTCTCCTTTTCTAGGACTGCTTTGACCATTCTCGGTCCTTTTGCATTTCCGTATGAATTCAGAATCAGACTGTGGATTTCTGCAAACAGCAGCTGGGATTTTATTTTGATAGGGATGGCACTGAATCTGTAGGTCAATCTGGGGGCATGCTGCCATCCTAAGAATAGTAAGTTTTCCAATCCATGAACATGGGCCGTCTGGCACTGACTTTTTAAACTCTGGAATATAGGTGAGATAATTCAGCAAAAAAAAGAAAATTTTTTTTTCTTTTAAATCTTCAACTGAGAAATCAATAATATGCACAACCATTCCACAACTGAACTGACAACAGAGCCTGAACAAGCAAGCCCCAGACAGCAGAAACATCCTCCTTTTCCACCGGGATTCATGCCCTTAAACAACTAAGGCAAACAGCTCATTCATGAGATGAGAATGGTCCCAGTTCCCACATTCTCTCAGAAGGGCAGCATACACTGGCACTAGACATTTAGAGAAAACCAGCTTTAAACATCACTGGAAATGAATGCAGTGGAGGGGAAATGGAGAAACAATGTTCACTTATCTGAATCTCTGCAAAAAACTAAAAATAGACCTGTCAAAAGGCACAACCAAGAAATATGTCTATTGATCTGAGGAGGGGGGAAAAAAAAACCCTGAACAAAATAAGTGGTGAAACATGCGACACACTGCTAAAAGTGTTCATGCCATGCATATTAATCAGAACTCTTCACAGGTCTTATGAACAGGATATAAAGGACGTTCTTCTTTTCAGCAGAATCAGACACGATGCCAGAGGCTGGGGAAGAAATTACTGTTTTATTCTTCAGACAAGGTGTTTCCTGTATCAATTTAAAAGTGCAAGCAAATCTGAAACTGTAAAATTTAAAATTTGTAAGAGGACTATAATCCATCTAACATAAAACTGAACCTCCTCTAGAACTATTGCAGCACTTTCCAGGGGACTTCTATTGTGACCCAACAAAAAAACAGCCTTTCTTTACCTGTTTACACGACATGTGATCAAGGGAAGGAAGTAAAGCTGGCCCTCTCATATAACCAAGATTTCAGCTGAACAGAATGTACATCAAGGGACAAGAGCCTTTCATTCTAAGGAGATCCATCATCTAACAACATGGACAACTGGCCGGGGCGTCCACACTGCCCAGGCTCTCGACGGCTCTCCAGCGTACACGATTCCCAGGAGGGCCAAGGATGACCTAAGACCTGACGGAGTGAGCTTCCCCGTGGAGACGGTTTGTATGTCTGAAGCACACAGGTTATGTAGGCATTTTATAGACCTTCAGAAAGTGCTCATAAAATTCTATCAATACCCATATACCCTCTGTCCTGTGACACCCAGACAAATTCCCAGATCCCAGGCACCAACCAAGATCTTCAGTTTTGCGTGGCCTTATGAAGCCGCTGGAGCCTGCCAAGATAGAAACCACCCAGATGAGCAGTAGACTCCATATCTGAAATCTTTAGGAATGGGGTGGGGACATGACATGTGCATAGTCGCTCAGTCGTGTCTGACTCTTTGCAACCCATGGACTGTGGCCCGCCAGGCTCCTCTGTTCATGGGACCTTCCAGGCAAGAATGCTGGAGTGCCACTCCCTACTCCAGGGGATCTTCCTGACCCAGGAATTGATCCCACACATCATGAGTCTCCTGCACTGGCAAGCAGATTCTTTACCACTGCACCACCTGGGAAGGCCCTGGGAGAAGGATGCTGCATATTTTACACACACACACACACACCCCAGAAATATCCCTGAGCTCCCTAGGAATCTAGAACATCACAAATACTTTCACATTTTATCCATCCGCCTCTCAGAAAGTCTATGTTCAGACGACTCTCATGATGAATGGATTGGAGGCTTCAAGTCTCTCTGCCAAGGGAGTGGTGTGATGTCCCTAGACACATGTGCATGGACATACCAGGGCGGGGCTCTGCCAAGTGAGCACTAAGCTGTGGTCTGTGAACATCTCTTACCACCTGTTCCCCGTTACTGCTGGGCAGCATTTTTTTTTTCGGCCGTGCCACGCAGCTTGTAGGATTTTAGTTCCCCAACGAGGGATTGAACCCAAGCCCTGGCTGTGAAAGCGCCAAGTCCTAACCACTGGACCGTCGGAGAATTCCCTCTGAGTAGCTTCTTAAGAGATCCTATCTGACAGAGATCTTATTAAAGTCACATAATACAGCTGGAAAGAGAAGAGCCCTACACTGGAAGAGACCAGGGCTCAAACCTGAGTTAACTCCAGGAAATGCGTTTCTCAGACTCAAGTTGTAAACATGGGCTAACACTGCCTGCCCCACCATGCTGTTGTAAGACCTGATTACTAGTCACACTTATCAAGTGCCTGGAAAAACCTGAGAAGTGAAGCAGGCAGGAAACGCTACAGAGGACATAGTGAGTAAGTCCTACCAACCAACAATGCAGTTTCTTTGGGGCATGTTACCTAATTTTTATTAACTATAATCATGGAGATTTAGAATTTTTAAAACACTGAATAAAACCCATCAACACCTTCACTTTTCTGTGTCACAGAAGAGAATCCAAAAAGAAGCAAATGAGAACTAAACAACAGTAACGCCCAAATGTTCAATTCTTAAAACTGCAGAGACCTCAATTACAAAAATCATTTTAAAACAGATCAAATTTAACTTACACACTTTTTTTTTTTTTACTACTTGCAGTGTATTCACAGAATGTCCAGCTGATGAAATATCATCATCAAAAAGCAACACAAGAGTGTGAGACACAGAAAAGACAACACATTCACAGCCAGTGGATGGGTGGGTTCTTTGGGTGTAAAGCCAGAGGAGCCAGTCAAGAAGGTTCACTTGACCCCTGTGTGCATCTGGGGCAGACAGGCTGGTCAACAAAAAAACAGAAAAACAACAAGCCATTAAAGATGTCTGGTCTGTGCTGGTTAAGTCTGTTATACTTTTCTGCAGAGCTATAAATAACCTCCTCTTCCCAGGCAGCCAAAGTAAACACAGGCCCCCTCTCTCTGTGCCCAGAAGGCTACCGAACCCCAGCACCTGCTCTCCGGGATTTTAAACCTGGGTTTTGCTTCACAGGTCTGACCCTTCTTCAGGGATCCTCCTTGAGTTCTCCGGGGCCGGTGGCTCCAAATCAGTGCCATCTCCTCTGGTTACAACCAGGCCACTGTAGTCTCCATACTCCAAGCTCTCCCCCGCCCCCCCCCCCCACCTTTCGCTGTTTATATTCCATGTTTGGGAATATCAGGACCTAGATTTCTCTAGCCCGGGAGGAAGTCACCAGGCTGTGAGAAATTTCCAGCACTACATCCAATCTCAATCTGCCAACCTCTCACTCAGCTGACCCGTGTTTGTCAAGAGCCTACGGAAGGAGCAATATGGTGTGATGATGACGTGATGGCCAGCTGGGCACGGAAGGCTGGAAGGCCTCCTCTGCCCGCATGAGGTCCAGCTGGAGAAAAAAGCATCTGTACATTTGAGGACACAGCCAACAAGCCCTCAGATACATATGCTGTCATTTTTTTAAAACGTCACTCAAACAGAATGTGCAATACAGGTCACTGGGGCTGGGGGGAACAGAGGCAGTCCCTGCCCCCGAGGCAGACACCGAGGTGCTTCCGAAGACAGGCAGAACTCAGTGATGTAGTGGAAGCAGAAGGGACCAGCAGTTTCACCTTCACAAAGGAGTGACCCCCAAAGGCTAAACTGGAAACTTGGAAAACTTCCATTTCACTAACATTTATGCATTCAAATTCTTTGGTCTTTTAATAAAACCCACAGCTCTTGGAAGAGGAAGAACAAAAATAAAAACTGCTATTAGACATTTCACGGAAGAAATATCTATTTTTTGAAGTTCATGAAGAAAGCATGCAAAGTTGTACGATTTATTAAAAATACTGAACTACTTACTCTCCTAGACTTCGGTCACAAAAGGTAAACGCATTCGGGAGAAAAATAACAATATTCAGTTATAGTACAACAACTTCAAACAAAATAGAGCATGCCAAAATGCTAGCAGTGAACTTTACACCCTGCTAAGTCATTTAATAGACGATTGAGTTCACTGACAATTGAAATTCACTTAATTTCATTGACAAGGATGTGGGTTTGCATTAAATTTTACATTATAATGTCTGCACTGTAGCAAACATGTGAAATCACCTTAAAATGTACCTTTTAATGATTTTTCTACCGAGCTCCCCACATACAAATGATCACTGCAAATGTGTTAGTACACAGAAAAGGAATAATTATATGAAAGAGATGATGTAAGAAACTAAGGTTTATGCCCATCAGAAAGCAGAAAATCAAGTTCCTCCCATTTTATGGAACATCATCTCTGGGCTGGAAGATTCAGATGGTCACCAGTCAGCTGCTGATGTCACACGGGCAGGGCCCATGGACATCAGGGCAGCAGAACCACAGAGCCCCAGATAGCAAATCAACAGTAATTGATACGAACGACGAGTGTCTATGTGAAGAGACGGTAAGACGATGGAGCAGCAATTGTTGAAATGCTGCCATTAAGGCAAGGCCTATGGTAATGGTTCCTCCACGAAATAAGTGTATTTTAAAAGATGGTTTTGTAAAACCAACTCAAAGAACAAACTACATATTTTCATGCTGTCCAATACAACCCCGCAGTGAAGGAGCACCCAGAGACCTGGATCTCACCTCTTCAGTCCTAGAGCCCCCAAGACTAAGGGATGAAAGGATAAAACAGCGATCTTTCAAACTTAAATCCCCTCACCTCTTTCTGTTCAACCTGTAATGCCGATTTCAGAATATCTCGGAGCTGTATCAACTGCCTTCTCTCTTCGTCCTGGGCCTGTTTGATCTTTAAAAAACATAACAAAGCAGAGAAAGTATAGCTGAGGTGCAGTGAGATGGTGAAGCTCATGGTCATATCTCAGCAACTGAAACCTTCCCCCCCAAAGACGGAGGACAGAGTGGAAACCCTGTTCCCCACACTCCATGGGGGCGCTCCAGGGCAGTCACGTTCTGGGCAGTGTGGCATACAAACATGACATCACACAGGAGCAACGTTTAAATCCAAGTGCATAGTGCATACTTTCAACACTCACTTGGGAGGGAAGTTACTTACTGTGTGAAGGTCTGTGGAAAGTGTTTCAATGGAAGGTTTGAGGCTTTCAACTGCTTTCAGTCCATCCTGGAAAAAACTAGGAGGAAAAAACAGCATAGGCTGTGTTTCATAAAAGAGAAAACAATTTTGTTAGATGGAGAAAAAAGACTTCTTTAAAGGAAATGGCTGAGATCACGATGTAATTCCTGGGGGGAAAAGACTAGGAACCAAACCTTAAAATATCAGGCAAACCACGAACAAAGTGATGTTCAAAACTATGAGCAATGAATTAAGAAGGAACCGCAATGAGCCTAGTGTCTGTGATTTTTCCTGGAAGATTCAGATGGTTACCAGTCACTTGCTGATGCCATACAGGCAGTCTGTGGACACCAGGGTAGGGGAACCACACAGCCCAAGCGAGAGAAACAACCATCTGAAAAACAAGAGTCTATGTGACTAGATGCTAAGAGCTGCTTACCCAGCAACGAACAGAGCAGAAAAGGTTGAAACACTACTGTTCCATATAAAATGAGCCCTAAATTCTCAGTTTATAGTGGGAAAACAGGACTCTCCCGACAAATCACAGCAGAGACTTGGGTTCAGAAGTAGCAGAGTCTGAGGCCAGAGAAGCACAGGGTGAACGTAAGAATAAGACACTAAATTAGGCTCCTTAACAGGCCACAGCTAAGTGGAAAAGACAAAGGATAAAGAAAAAAGCAAGCTGGCTTAATGCACACAGATGGCCCTGTGTGCAGAGCAGGGAGACGTGGTCAGAGAACTTGAGATCAAATATCAAAAGGAACATTTTTAATGCTCAGAACCCAGGCTCATAAAGTCAGTTATAACAAGCGATTCAGGAATGAGAATGGAGGCTGGATGAGTTTTTTCTGCAGCTTGGCCTCTGAGCCCATTTGAGGGAAACAGAGGCTTCCGGGAACTTAGGCGAGGGTTCAAAACCTGTAACAAGGGCTAAAGTGCCCACCTCCAAGCTTCAATCCACCCTCCTTGCTCCTTTACTGACTTCTCCTTACTCCTCCATGGCCACCCGGTCATCTCTGCCTCAGGCCCTTTGCACAGACTGTTCTCTCCTCTGAGGAGGCCCTGCAGTCTGCCTTCTGGTTCACCTGGCTGGTTCCCACTCACTCTCCAAGTTTTCAGCTAAATATGGCCTCATCAGCAAGGTGTGCCACACTCCCCTCCCTTCAAAGAGGTCTCCTCACCAGATTCTCTCAGAGATCCTGTCTCTGGCTTTGAAACACTCGCCACAACTGCCGTTATGTGTTCATTGGGGAAACAGTTTAAAATATAGTTCCCCCATCAGATCTGAAGTTCTGGGAGAGTGAGGACACAGTATCCGCAAAACCTGACACATCTCAAGTGCACAATATTTGTTGAAGGAAGAAATTAATGAAGGAAGGAAGGCGTCTCTAATTTCTGCTGGTTTACTGGGTACCAAGGTGACTATCTTCAAAAAGTGACCTGGGGTTCACACGTTTCTTTCTTTTAAACTCAGCAACAGTCCCGTGGGAATTTCCCATATCAAGTCTGCAATTAATAGGAGGGGTTGTAAAAACAATACTGCATGACACTTAATACAATAACTCCAATGAGGGAGGAGGAAGGAAGGAAGGGGGAAACGTACACACAGCATGCGGGTCACGAACCGTCATGAACTGGTTATTAGGAAAGAGGCTGGGCTATCAGCATTTCTTACTTTAATCTTTAGATATTTGCGCAATTCACTTTATATTTTCATTCCTGCATTTTGCCTCTTTTTTTTTTTTCCCCTAAATATAGAACATGCTTCTGGTGGAGCAATTGTGTCCGGGTTTTAATGACTTTTCCACGTGTCTGTTTCCACTGCCAGGGCAGAAATGCCATGTCTCGCACGTCCCTATGTTTCCACTCTGAGCACAATGCCCGACCCAGAGCAGCAATTTGAAAAGGAAACTGGGAAGCACAAACACAGGAATGAGAGGGCAAACATGTCCCTCTTGTCAAGAACTCATTTGGTTCTGATGTTTTGTCTGAGTTACTTTCTTTCCTTGTATAATTATTTCACTAATCAATTCAAATTCTTGTAAAATAGGTGAAGGCAAGAGGTGATGGTTGGGGGGGGTGCGGGAGGTGGGGAAGGAGAGGAGGCAGAGAGGGAAGGGAAGTTGAATACACACTAGTTTAGGGAAGGGGAGAAACATCACAGATATTGGCCCAGAAAGGATCCTGCTCCTGGCGTAGGGCAGCAGCTGTTTGGCCCTGGAACCTCCGAGCCTGGCGACAGTCCCCACATGCACCCTGCAGTGAAGTCAGTTGCCCAGAGAAGTGTTTCTCATCACAGACACTGTCTGCATTGCAACACTGGACCCTGAGCTTGGAATAATGATCCAGACTTAGATTTCACAGCTGTGGAAAGCCTCGCCAATCTTGACCATCTACCTAGAAAGCTCTTCCCATTGATTTCCAAAACTCTTATCTTTTGTGTACCGATCCTTATTGAGGCATGTATGGCGTATCTGTCTTTTCTGCCCTTAGGGGGAACGCTTCAAAACAAGAGGCCTCTTTACCAGCTGCTGTCACTTCAAGCCTAAGTATAAACTCCCAGGCAGTTTTCTTAGGTTGAGCCTGTCAGTGCTTTCCCAGGCTTCAACAGTATCATCCATACTACCAAATACCAAATTTTGCTTTTTATCTAACGTTTTCTAGCCTACCGGATCAAATTTGCCAGCCTTTATAATACCCCCAGTGAAATTCAACCTTCATGTGCCCAACAAACAGGGCCGCCTCCCCCTCCCCTAAGCCTTCCCACCAGCACCCCCTCACGACTGGGGGCCTCTGGCCCTCTCTCTCCTGGAGAGAACCTCTCCTGGGCAACAGAGCAGGTCTCATTCCATCTGCAACCCAAGGACATCAGCCGTCACTGGTCACAGAGGTTCCCAGCAGGTACAAAGTCACTGCAGCGCTCATCACCACTGTCTAGAATGTCACCGTTTTTGTTTGTTTTAAACACTGCCTAGTTTTAGATTCCACTAGAGAACAGGAGCCTCAGTCTTCCGCAGCAAAAGTTAATAAGACACTGTCCAGGCTCTTCTAGGAACTGGAGATGCCGCTTCTTCCCTTACATGATATAAAAGGCATAGATCATAAGTTTATAAGACAATCAGCTTCTCAGGTGGCTCAGTGGTAAAGCATCTGCCTGCAAATGCAGAACAAGGTCTGATCCCTGGGTTGGGAAGATCTCCTAGAGGAGGAAATGGCAACCCACTCCAGTATTCTTGCCTGGAGAATCCCATGGACAGAGGAGCCTGGCGGGCTACAGTCCATGGGGTCGCAAAGAGTCGGACACGTCTGAGCAACTGAAGATGAAGAAGATACTCTTCAAGAAGGCTTCTGGAGAAAGCAAAAAGGAAGAAGAAGAAGAGTAAAGTCTGTCTAAGTTCTCAGGAAGAACAAGCAAGTATGCGTCCAGGGAATTTGGCTCCACCGTGAGGCCTCTGGGCACCTGCAGAGACCTGCAGCCCCGCTGAGCAGGTTGCCTCTGTCCCGGGGTCACCGCGCTTGCCAGGCAGGGCCATGCTCCCGGGAGACGTGGAGACGGAGAGTGTGACATGGGGACGCATGGGAACTGCCTGGAGGATAAACACGTGTGTGGCCACAGGCTCCTTCATCCAGTGGCTGAATCGCTCAAGCTCCACATTTTATGCTCTCCAAATATGCATTTGAAAAGTCAAAGCTTCTTAGATGATTTGAAGAGCATGCAGTATATACATGTGTACACACATACACACACATACACAAGCTCCATCCAAAAAGGAAGTAATGGAAGATTCATCATTTTTAAAAGTTACTGAGCTCATGCCCATAAAAGGCCAACTCGTTCACTTTTCCACAAGTGGTCTGTTGCTAACCAACTGATTAGTTTGGGCAAAATAAAGGGGAAAAAAAAAAGGAAACCCCAGAATAACTTTTTAAAAAATAAAATATCAGCAAGGAAGCGACCCACTTCCTAAATGGCCTCACATAAGGTTACCAGGAGAAGACTGAAGAAGTAACTTGTATGGTCATCACATAGCATTTTGAGTTTCTGTAAAAGAATTCATCTTAAAAATTCTACAAACTGAGGGTCTTCCTATTTTCTGAGCTCCATGCCGGGAGCTCTTCTTTTAACCCAGGATGAAGCACACAACACATCTCCCTTTGCTGCTGGGCCTCCACTTCAGAAACACAGCATGGCCAGAGGTGTGTTAAGAATTCCAAAGCCCAGCTCCACCCAATTCAGTGAATTCACGGCTGCAAACTGGGCCAGGGAAATGGGGCGTGGCCGAAGGTGAAAAAATAAATGTCACGGAGGACATCTCTGCAGAGGATACAGCTGGGCGGGAGATAGGACACACATAAGGCGCCATCGCGGGGATGTGCAGCAAGCACCATGGTGACAGAGGGAAGAGCCATGTGCAGGTGGGGCGAGCGGACACCCTCACAGTGGCAGCTACACCTGAGCTGGGTCTCGCAGGACCAGAGGCTGGGGGAAGGCACAGAAGGAACAGAACTGCGTTCCAGGCCAAGGGGACAGCAGGGTAAAAGATACCAGTGCGGGGCCCAGCCTGTTAAGGGAAAGGCATGTGGACACATGTGGGAACAACACCCTCGAGAGATTTCCACGTCACTCACACATCCCCAGGCCCAGGCAGCCTGGGCTCCAGCCACCCCTGGACACAACCCTTGTGCCTGAGTGGTCACACACCCATCCCATCCCATCTGGTCCTTCTCGGCACCCAGAGCAACCCCGTGAAAGCAGAAATGGATCGGGAGACACCTCCTTGATGTTCCCAATCAACTCCACTCTCCTCTCGTCCTGCAGCTGTCTCTTCAAGGTCACAGGCGCTCCCTGAGACTGTCACACCCCTGCTGGCTGGCTAGTTGCTGTCCCCCGTCCCACCAGTTGGTCCACACAGGTAGGAGCTCAGTTTCCTTCTTGCTGTATCACCTGGACCTTCTGGATCACTCTGTGTCCTCCGGAGCTCAACCAACACTTGCTGAACGAAGCCTCTGCTTGAAACTTTGCGCGCCTCCCCGTACGTGTGGGACAGAATCTAATGCCGTGAACAAGACGCCAGGCCGTGCCCGCCTCCAGCTTGCCCATGCAGCTTCAGTTCGCTAATGAGGCTTCAGGCGGGCTGGCTTCACTCCTGCCTTGAGACCCTGATCCTGCCTGGAAGGTTCTTCCCCTGCTTCCCACCTGCCAGCCCCTCTGTGTCCTTCAGACCCCAGAATCCATGTCCCTGAGAGAGACCTGCAGGTAACTCAAGAACCTGAACACCTCCTGTGGGACAGGCACTGTGCTCTGCCAGCTGGAAAACTCAGCAAGGATGGAACAGAGAAGGAATCTCTATCCTCCACCTCAATCTAAATTAGGTCCTTCTGTTATACTCTCTCTCAGACTCTGGTACATCAGAACACTTTGCGAAGCGTCCGATTATATGTGGGTTTGTCTGCGTCTTGCTCCAGCAGGCGCTGGGCCTGGGACGTACACCACCCTGTCTCCAGCATCTCAGGGGTCCCCCAAAACACAGCACACACCCAATAGCAGCAGTGACTGAGCCCACAGCCTGTTCACGTCAATGGTGAGAATCAGGCTGAGGAACAGGAAGGACAATGAGGCCCCGGGGACGGCTGACAGACACAGCAAAGATGAGCACGTGAGCAGTCCCCTGACCCTGAACGGTTCTCCCTCTCTCCCCAGACAGCTGCCTTTGCTTAGCACATCATCTGTTTCATAGATCAGTAATACATAGAAGTATTCTCCTAATTTAAGACTCTGCATTAACACCATCTCGCTTCTCTTTTAACAAAAAGAACATCCAAGAATCAAACTAGTTTGGCGCTTTACCAAAAAAAAAAAAGTATATTTGATAAAGTAATGTAGATTTTTATATTATTTTTTAGTTTTTGAGATATAATTCTCAAACTGTAAAATTCAACCTATTAAAACATACAGTTCAGTGGGTTTTAGTATATTTATTCACAAAGTTGAGAAATCATCAGCCCTGTCTAATTCCAGAGTATTTTCATTAGCCCAAAAAGAAACCCTGTGGCCCCTGGGAGTCATTCCCCACTCTCCCCCTCCCCTCAAACCCTGCCTCAGTGAGTCTGCCCATTCCCGATCTTTCAAGTAAGTGGACTCATTCAGTCTGTGGTCTTCTGTTTCTGGCTTCTTCTACTTTATGTGTTTTGAAGGTTCGTCTGTGTTGCAGCATGCCTCACTGTTTCACTCTTTTTACTTATTTACTAGTATATTTTTAAATACAAGCATACTTTCCTCAGCGTAATACTACAAATCTCCAAGAAGCTGCCGTAAAGAGAGAAACATCTGAAACACCATGATAATGAAGGAAAAGAACCAAGAACTTACTTGCATTGAGCATGAAAATACTTGATCAGATTCTGAAGTAAATCCACTCCCTTTTTAATCTTAATTTCATTGACCTTCAGCAGATACTGTTAAAAAAAAAAAAAAAACACAGGAAATATCATAGAAACAGAAAATGAGCTGAACATGAACTTCTGAGGACAGGTCACCTCCGGGCCTTCTCTGACATCCTGTATTATGCGTAGGTCTCATGATAGATGCTTAATATTTTCTGAATGCCACAACTAAATGCTTCTTTTATTTTGGTGCCACATGAATTACCTGACCTTTGGGTAATCATATGTTTAGCTTTAAGTGCCAAGAACTCCCTGCAATAAAACAGTCCGTCTTAACCAGCTAGGGGAAACTTTTGCCCCAGTTGCATGGAAGAGTGAGGATGGTTAGAATGAAAGGGTTCCACCTTCTGGACTCTGTGGTCCACATCCCCTGTTCCAGGGCCCTTTCTTCAGGTAGGTCATTGTTTAAACACTAACTGCAGGTCTTCCGTAGTTAAGGCTTTGTCTCCACATCTCTGATATTGAAACACTTCCCCGACACTTTAAATAAACATTGTGATTGTTTGAATTTAAAAAAACAAATTTTAAATTCAAATAAATTAAAATCATTTTTAACTTGGAGAATTCATTAACAATCATAAGATAGCAGGAAACCCCAGGGATATATAGAACTAGCATCAGGACGTACATTTGCCCTTTGCTAAGAGTTTATAGAACAAAAGATCCCACAAATTCCCTCTCCCCTTCACTATCAAAATAGGATATATTTACAATCCTGAGAATAAGTCACCTCTAAGAGTGAAAGCCCCCTAGAGAGCTGCTGACCCCCGCTGACCACTGGCGTCTCAGCTGTAACCTGGGAAACTCGCCTTCAAGTGTCCTCCTGCCCAGCTGCTCTGAAACGGTAACTACATCATTGCCTTTAGGTCCTCATCTCCCTCCTTTCTGATACTTATTCACTGTTAATTAAATAAGATGTCTGGCAATGTAGCAAAATGGTTAGATGGTTAATGAGTTTGGCCATGTGTCAACATTAAAATCCATGTGCCCTTTGACCTGGAAATTCTACTTTCAGGTATTTATTCTAAGAAGACAATCATAAAAATTTACAAAGATGAATGGAAAAGAAGGTTCATTGCAGACTTGCTCGTAAAAATGAAAAATGGTAACAAGCTAAATGTAATGAACGGGGAACTAAAGTGTGGCGCATCCATAGAAAGAAGGGCTATTAGTAATTAAGCCAATAAAGCAGAGACTTCCTGATGTGCAAAGATGTCTGTGGCACACTAGTGAGTGAAAATAATCAGGATACAAAGCAGCAGTAGAGAATGATCATGGTTACACAAACTGCCTTTAACGTATGCGTACCAGGGACATCTGGAAGATGTGCAGCTAAATGTCAAGGTGGTTACCTTAATAAATAAAGTCTGTAGTGACTTTTAATTTTTTATGCATATACACATATATACATGGGCTTCCCAGGTAGTGCTACTGGTTAAGAATCCACCTGCTAATGCAGGAGACATAAGAGACACAGGTTTAATCCCTGGGTTGGGAAGATCCCCTGGAGGAGGGCATGGCAATCCACTTCAGTATCCTTGCCTAGAGAATCCCCATGGACAGACGAGCCTGGCGGGCTACAGTCCATAGGGTTGCAAAGAGTCGGACATGACTGAGCGACTAAGCACGCATGCATGCACATATATACATACACACATATATATACTGACCAATGTTTTTTTTTTTTTTTTTTTTCAGAGGTGAGGCAGAATTTATTGACCCACTGTACAGATAAGGAAACTGAAGCCCAGGGTCACCTAGCAACTGAGCGGCAGAGGATTCAAACCTAAATATGTAACTCTCACCCCGCAGAGGTGATGGAGAAAGAAACAAGTCGGCCCAGCCCTGCCTTTTCTCCCTGCCCTTTCTCCCCTGCCGGCCCCCAACCAAACAGGAGCTGAGGGCTGGGACTGACCTGCTCGGGGCCACCTTCAGAGCGGCAGAGTATATTTTTATAATGATAAGAAACGCAAGAGCGGATCTCTCATACATTCTCTGTTCACACGAGCTCTGTATTACCGATCTGGCATACGGAATGTCTTTATAAAATTCGTTTTGAAGAAAAAAATCCCACAGGTTTAGAATAAACACCTGAAAGTCACTTCTCTACATTAGATCCGAGGCAACTAAAATGGTAAACACCTGAACAATGTTGAGCATTTACAAAGCTCGAGGGCTTCAATTTGAGGAAGCGGTTGAACGATTTTAAAGCCACTGTAACTGCAGCAGTCTTCACTCTGAGGGGCCGGGTTCTCGGGGACTGCTTTTCAGACACACTCTCTTTCCAGCCCAGGTCTGGCTGGTCAGCGTCTGCAGCTTCATCAGATGCGTCCTCTTCTGCAAACTCCGACCTCACAGCCCGCTGGCCCACCTCCACTTTTGTGCCTGCACACGGCGCTGGGCCCTGCCCCAGCCAGCTCTGCAGAGCAGGGACCCTGTGATGCTCAGCACAGACTTGGGACCCGCCCAACAGACAACTCGTGTGTGTGACTTAGCGGTGTTGGGTGGATAGCGCCTTTCCAATAAAATAACCCATCTGACAGTCCTCACAGCCTATTCGCCCAGACAAGGACAAGCCCATGCACACCGGGTGCACGCTACAGAAAGCACACCCTCACCACGAGGAAACGCCAGTAACACCCAGGCTGAGTCTCTCGTCCCTAAACGTACTTGAATAAGCAGTCCTGAAGAGTTCAGGTTGACAGCTTTCCTCCTCACTAGCCAAAGAGAGAGCACAACCTGAACTCACACACACGCCCCTCCAAATCCACTCTCCGTGAAACACTGCTACTTCATTTTATCCCACTTCAATAAAAGCAACGCCCTGTGTCTGCATGACATACAGCGGTTTTGCTTCCTTGTCCCTGTCTCCTGTCGTCCAGGCTGATTTCTCCAACACTGTGCGAAACAGGCTAGGCAGGTGTTAGTCTAAGTGATGCCTGCTGGGATAAAACAGCATGTGGATAAAAACATCCACTCTCCTATCTACAGGAACACTCTGAGTTTAGTTACACCTTTCTAAATATTCACGTCATGAAAAACAAAGCAGCAAAGGAGAAACAGAGGAACAAAAAAGACCTAAGACATTAAAAAAAAAAAGTAAAAGAACAGACTTTTTTGATGTTACTATCACAACCACATAGACAGTAACATCAAATGTGAATGATTAAAGAATCCCATCAAAAGGCAGAGATTGTCAGACTGGATAAAGAAAACATGACCCAAATATAGGTTGCCCACAGGAAACACACTTCAGAGCCAAAGATATGCGTAAGTTGAAAGTAAAAGACTGGAAAAAGAAACCCCATGCAAACAGAAACCAAAAGAGAGTTGGTGTGGCTGTACTAATATCAGACAAACATCTCTCGTCCCACGGACTGATTCTCCTCCGAACTTCACTTAGTGTACCCTGGGAATAGAAACTCATTTAAATACACTCCTAAGATATACATATGGAAAGGCTAGGTGCTTGCTGTAATTAACAAACATCCTAAAATCACAGAGTGCCTTTTGATGAGCTTTGCTGTGGATGGCTTACAGGGAATGGATTGCTGGCTGAACCGAGTCTCAGTGCCTATCACAAACATCACGCCTGCATGGGCACACTCAAAATGTACGTCTGCACTGCAGTGGGGGAACACAAATGCCACCAAACACGGACACTCCACTGCCACTGCCTGGAGGCATGAGCCCTCAGGCGAAGGGGGAACTGTTTCCACGAGCTGTTTCGACCAACAGACCCCCAAGCAAGGCATGAAGAAAAGGCTGGAAGCAAAGGCTTGCATGGGTGGTCTTGGGGACTTTCCATCCCTGCTGCTGCTGCCAAGTCACTTCAGTCGTGTCCAACTCTGTGCGACCCCACAGACAGCAGTCCACCAGACTCCTCCGTCCGTGGGATTCTCCAGGCAAGAGTACTAGAGTGGGTTGCCATTTCCTTCTCCAATGCATGAAAGCGAAAAATGAAAGTGAAGTCGCTAAGTCATGTCCAGCTCTGCTCGACCCCATGGACTGTAGCCTACCAGGCTCCTCCATCTGTGGGATTTTCCAGGCAAGAGTACTGGAGTGGGTTGCCATGTCCTTCTCCATTCCATCCCTGAACCTCCAGGAAAGAAAAGTTCTGAGTGTCGGTCCTGCCGTTTTCGCCTCCCAGAGGCGAGGACTCAGGCTGCAGGTGGAATGGGACAGAGGACTTCAGGCCTTGGGAGCATCCCTACCCCGAGCAGGTGGAGCCCAGGGTGGGGGTGGGGGGTGGACACTTGCAGAGGCAGGGGCTTCTGGAAACAGACCCTCACGCTCACAGAGGGGACCACGGCTGCGGGGGGAGAGGGGTCTCACCACCCTGGTACCTCCTTAAAAGCATCTAAGGGTGTATTCTCGCTTCCTTGATGGCTCAGATGGTAAAGCATCTGCCTGCAATGTGGGAGACCCAGGTTCGATCCCCTGGTCGGGAAGACCCCCTGGAGAAGGAAACAGCAACCACTCCAGTACTCTTGTCTGGAAAATTCCATGGACGCAGGAGCCTGGTAGGCTATAGTCCTTGGGGTCATAAACAGTTGGACATGACTGAACGACTTCACTTTAAGAGGGTATTCTAGCTGACTTAAAGCGGAGAAGAGGTGTTTCCAGGAGGATCTGTGTGAGGCAGAAAGAACCTTCTTTCAAGTCCTGTTGTTTAGTCGATAAGTCATGTCCGACTCTTTTGCGACCCCATGGACTATAGCCCACCAGGGTCCTCTGTCCACGGGATTTCCCAGGCAAGGATACTGGAATGGGTTGCCATTTCCTCCTCCATCTTTCAAATGAGTCTTTCCCTACCTTTAATAAAGGTTGATGTCAGATTAATCTAATCCCACACTCCAGGAGCCTAAGGCTCCCTGAGGGGCAGAAAGTGGACAACAGCACCTCCGTGCTGGCCTGAGGCCTCTGGTGGGCCCTGCCCGCCCACCTCGCACGCCCACCTCGCACATCTGCAGCTGGAAGTAGCGCCGCTCCTTCTCCATCTCCTCCGCAATCTCAGCCCCGCTGATCTCCGTGCGGATCATCCCATGGAGTTTGGCATGTTCCTTCTTCTCCTTTTCTATCTTGGTTCTAACAGGTGGAAAAGTGAGAATCAGTCAAGACACCTCCAGACTGGGGAGCCCCCTCTGCGATCCTGACACCCACCCTGGACACAAATGCTCCGCAAGATGCCTTGGCACAGGACGGACTTGAACTCACTGGGAAGAAAAGATGCGATTTGTCCCAAAAAATATCCATCTTGGCCCTTTCTGTTGAGTACTGAACTCAGAAAATGCTCCCAAAGCAACTCCATTGGGACAGTGCTCAAGGTCACAGAGGACTTCTCTGGAGGCTCAGATGGTAAAGAATCTGCCTGCCATGCAGGAGACCTGGGTTCAACCCCTGGGTCGGGAAGATGCCCTGGAGAAGGAAATTGGCAACCCACTCCAGTTATTTCCGTCTGGAGAATTCCATGGAGAAAGGAGCCTGGGGGGCTATAGTCCATGGGGTTGCGAAGAGTTGGATACAACTGAGCTCTAACACTTTCACAGTCACAGAAGGAAACAGATGGCCTTTCCCGTTTTTAAGCTTCACTCCCCTCTGTCTGTATCTCCTGGCTTGACTGTGCTCCTGAGTCCAGTGTGCGGGACAGGGTACCAGCTGACCCCTTCCTGGAGCATGTCCTGAGACGGAGAACCAGGGTAGCTACAAGTCACATCAGTTAGGAAGGGCTTGAACTACTAATTAGACTTTTATTCGGGAGAAAAGGAAACTAAACAAAAGCCACAGAGAGCCCTCAGAAGTGTCAAGGCTACCACCAAGAGAAGAGCAGAGACTTCGCACAGCACCCCAAGGCGGACACCAACACTACACAAGCAACACTCCGCAGAGTGCTCAATATGAAATAGGTTCCTCTGGGTCCAGAGTCCCCGTCGCTTGGGGACTTCTAAGTCCCCAAGAAGAGGCAAGAAACAGAGCTCCTAATTCTTTTTTTTTTTATTTGAAGCACAGCACTAGGTGAACAGTAGACAGTCACTGACTTGAATGGGTGAGCTGAAGGTGACCACTTGGTAGAGATGTTGCTGCAGTGATTCACGCCCCAGGAGGGAGTGTGACTGGAGGCCCCTGAGGTCACGGGACAATTACGCAGCCCCAAGGCGCCCCTGACGCCACCGCTACTACAAAGGGCCTGAGATCCAGTCCAGACGTTGGTCACTCTCAAAATGGTCAGGTATGGAACTGCAGGCCAGGAATTTTAAAGACGTCTTAAAGCTGTTTGTTACACACCACAGGGCCTCTCAGGATAATCTAATCTCACATGTAAGTGGGTAGAGTGAATTTTAAAATTTATCCCAGGATTGTTGCTGTTATTTTTCAGTTGCTAAGTCTTTACGACCCCATGGACTGCAGCGCACCAGGCTTCCCTGTCCCCCACCATCTCCTGGAGTTTGCTCAAACTCATGATGATGTCAATGAGGTCATCCAATCTTCTTGTCCTCTGTGGTCCCCTTCTCCTCCTGCCCTCGGTCCTTCCCAGCATCAGGGTCTTTTCAATGAGTTGACTCTTTGCATCAGGTGCCAAAGGATTGGAGCGTCAACGTCAGTCCTTCCAATGAATATTCAGGGTTGATTTCATTTAGGACTGACTGGTTGATCTCCATGCAATCCAAGGGACTCTCAAGAGCCTTCCCTAGCATCACAATGTCTCTGAGTTTTAAAGGGTGGTGCTCATTTGTCCTCCAGTTCTGGGATTTTGTGAGTCCTCACCATATTTATTCTATTATTTATAGAATTTGATCTCATTCTTCTTTCAAACCTTTCACTTTCAGAACCTGAAGACTCTCTCCAGCAACCCTCCTCAGAGACCCCCCTCACGTCCCAGGTTCAGAAATGCACAGAAGCCTTTTCTCTAAGGCCCGTGAGTCTGGCAGTGACAGCAGCTGAATGGAAACGGGCAAACTCATGTCCTGCCCTTGGCTCAATTGTCCCTTGTGACTGACCAGAGCAAATACCGAGGCCCGGTGTCCCGTCTATACAGCAGGAATTCGGATCCCCTTCTTGTTTACTGAACTGAATCAGCACATGGATGCAGGACAATAATGGGCCAAGCATAGTGAGTTTGGAGCCTCTCTGGGTTGAGCCAACCTTCAAAGCATTCTGGTTTAATAATCTGTGCTAATGTGTGAATGTGCGCCATTAGAAAAACTCCAGAATCCGGAGTACGGGAACTTTAGATTTCTAGGACAGGATGAGCACCAAAGATTTTGTATTGCTTGGTGTGAGCTTTGTGATCTTCCACCTCTGAACAGATGCCCGGGGCTGGTAAAAACAAACAAACCCAAGTACCTATCTATAGCTACATCTGATTGCCAGGAGAAATACCAACAACCTCAGATACACAGATGATACCACCTTTATGGCTGAAAGTGAAGAGGCACTAAGGAGTCTCTTTATGAAGATGAAAAAGGAGAGTGAAGAAGCTGGCCTGAAGTTCAACATTCAAAAAACTAAGATCAGGGCATCCAGTCCCATCACTTCATGGAATAGAAGGAGAAAGGGTAGAAGCAGTGACAGATTTTATTTTCTTGGGCTCCAAAATCACTGCTGACAGTGACTGCAAGTCATGATGTTACAAGACATTTGCTCCTTGGAAGGAAAACTATGACAAACCTAGATGGTGTATTAAAAAGCAGAGACATCACTTTGCTGACAAAGGTCCGTAGAGTCAAAGCTATGTTTTCTCTGGTGGTCATGTATGGATGTGAGACTTGAACCATGAGGAAGGCTGAGCACCGAAGAATCGATGCTTTCAAACTGCAGGGCTGGAGAAAACTCTTGAGAATCCCTTGGACTGCAAGGAGATCAAACCAGTCAATCCTAAAGGAAATGAACCCTGAATATTCACTGGAAGGACTGATGCTGAAGCTCCAACACTTTGGCCACCTGTTTGGAAAAGACTGACTCATTGGAAAAGACCCTGATGTTGGGAAAGATTAACTTGGGCAAACGGAAGACAGAGCAGCAGAGGATGACATGACTAGATGGCATCACCAACTCATGGATGTGAATTTGAGCAAATTTCAGGAGATACTGAAGGACTGGGGAGCCTGGTGTGCTGCAGTCCATGGGGTCACCAAGAGTCGGACCTGACTTTGCAAGTGATCAACAACAGCGACATCTGAAAAGGTTTTCTTCTGAACACTTCCCACTTTCCCAGATAGTTTCATATAAAAGTTTCTATTTCCACTGAGAAAACTCTTATTACCCAATGCACAGCCATTACAAAGCAAACATGAGGCATTAAAACATATTTTCTACTTCTCAGGTATTTAAAATAACCGAAACCATTATCTCCACAATCGCTCACCCAGTTCTAGCTAGCTCGATCCTCTCCACTCCAGGAGTCAAGAAACTGTGATCAGAAATGTTACAACAGGTGCCTAAAGTCAACCAGCAGCAGTCAATTAACATTCCTGAAAACAACAATCAGGCAGTCACAGGACAGAAGAAGACGGACAAGAAAACGCCTGTCTGAAGAGGTTAACATCAGGAAGGCAGAAACCCGGTACGGAAGAAAACATCTAGAATCACAGCAGAACAGGGCAACAGAGTTCTGGGTGAATTCTTTCCTGGATTAAGGTTCATTCAGACAATACCTTTAAGCAATAAAAGCGCGATCTTAAATTAAAGCCTCGTTACCCACGCTTATTTTTTAAAACAAAAACACTCACATTTTTGTTTCATAGTCCTTCCAAGCTTTATCAAAAGGCTTCTTCAAATCCTGTAAACAGAGAGGCATATGTTAAACTGGACTAATCATGAACTTCTGGGCAAGATAAACTTAATTCTCTCAAGACTAGCCCTGAAAGGAGTATTAATTTCTGTGATAAATGACATACGTGATCTCATGAAAAATAAAGAGCCTAAGCTCTAAGTACAGGCTTTTTAATTAGACTAGTGGTGGCATTTCTTTTCTAAGAAATTTTTAGTATGGAATATACAAAATGCACACAGAAAGAAGTGGAGAGAATTGTATAATGTGCCAATCAGCTAGTTACAATGAGTTATCAACTCACAGCATGTCTTGTTTCACCTAGACCCTGCCCTCTACCCCAGAATTATTCTGAAATTAAACCCAGAAAGACATAACATTTAGTCTTCAAGTATTATCCCTCTGAAATAAAAGGACTCTGTTTTTTTTTTCTTTTATTATTAATACAGGAATCTCAACACACGTACCCCTGATGTGGGCCCCAAAACAAGAATATAAAAGCCATTTACTATTTCCTGTGACCTGATGGTTTAGGCGCTCAGTCGTGTTAGACTCTTGTGACCCCACGGACTGTGTAGCCCGCCCAGCTCCTCCGTCCATGGGATTCTCCAGGCAAGAATACTGGAGTGGGTCGCCATTTCCTTCTCCAGTGGGATCTTCCCAGCCCAGGAATTGAACCTGGGTCTCCTGCATTGCAGGCGGATTCTCTACAATGTGAACTAGGAGAGAATTGCACGATTCTGTCTAGAACTCAGAACCTCACATTCTCTGATGAAACCTGGCTTAAAAATGTACTGAGCCACCAGAAATTCCATCAAGTTGTTCCCACCTATGTATGCTCCCTTTAACAGGGCTCTTTTGGAAGCGAAAACCCTTCTGTTGCGGGGATTTCTAATTCTTTCTGGCTCTTCTCCAGCCTTCTGACAAGGCCCAAGCTCCACAGCCTGGCACCTAAAGCCTCCAGGGAGGGGGCCAGTCCACCCCATCAGCCTCACCTCCACTCGCCCCGGGGCAGGACTTGCCCTGTGCGCCCCGCCCTCCCATTTTCCTGCCTACCTCCCCTGACATGTTCTCTGGGGCCCCAGGGGACAATGAGTAACATTCCGCAGCGTCTTCACTCCTAACGGCTCACCCAGCCAGACTCCCTGCCCGGACAGCTCTCCGTGCACGGCTTGCCTCTGCAGAGACCCCAGGTTGGCCAGGTTGGCCTTGCAGAGGCCGCTGGGGATCAGAGAACTCGGCCTCCTAAGGACTGGGGCATGGTCGTCTCCCTTTTGTATCACACACCTGTCTGTGTCAGAGACAGGCACGAGTGACTTTCTGCTCAGCACCTGGCCCCACACTGCACTTGGGCCATACACACATGTGCTCAGGACACAGTTTACGGCTCGAGGGTTTGTGGGAGGCTGGTGAGGCCTCAACGATGGGCGCCTTTTGCAGGATACAAGAATGAAGGTGGCTCAGGCCTTGCTGGTGCTGATCTCCCAGTGGGGAGACCACGTCCCTGCAAGGGGCCTGTACAGGGGTCAGTCAGGGCTAGACCAGCTGGAAAATCAGAATACACACAGGCTTCCCTGCTCCGCTGGCCGAGCCCATAGTCATTCATAGTTTCCTGTTTCTTTCCCTCCCACATCTCAAGCACCAGCGGGACAACTGGGAAAGCCACGGGTCACCACTGTTAGGGCTGAATAGTGGTGCCAAGGTGGCCAGTCAAGGGAGCCCAAGGTGCCATGGAGCTGTCCCGCCATTTCAGGAAGACCTGAGGGATATCTGCCTGGATGGGCCAGCCAGACTGCAATGCCATGCTCAAACCACTGCCCCCCGGACAGGACTCCGCAGGTCATACCCCTTTCACTCCTTTCAGGTCCCCCTTCAGCAAACTGTCCAGAGGGAAGGAGATTATGTTGTTCATGTTCTGAATCTAAAAGACAAAAAAAAAAAAAACAGAAAAATATTCTTATTCCATTTCCTTTTTAATCTAAAGCAAGGACAGTAAGGAGGCTAAAAGAACACGTGGTGATAAACTTTCCCTAAAACCCCATCATTCTTAACAGTCTCCGTAACGATGTCATCTAATGAATGAAAACCTAACAGTGAAAAGTCTACATCTGTTTATATTTCACAAAATATTAACCTATTACTGGGCTATGAAATCTGTGGAAAGATAACCATCACAATGAAGGGAAAAAAAAATCAATGACAGAAGCACTTTAAAGCTCCAAGAACGGGAGACCACCAACACTTCCTCCTCTCACAGCTCTATCGATGCCCTGGGGCTGTGGCTCTGGTCAGTTCTGGGGGTCCACAGCACCCCCAGTCTCCACAGCACGGCCACCAACAAAGGAAACTAAAAGAGAATGTGTGTGAGAGAGACGGAACAAGTACTGAGGGGGTGGGGGTGGCTGGAGAAAGCAGGTAAGTGAGAAAAGGAGGGACAAGCGGTCTCGAGGTCGCCTGCTCTTCCCCCTGAAGCAAGAAGGCAAGAGATGGTGGCTTAGCAAGTTGTCACCATGGATTAAATCGAGGGGAACCAAAGCATTCTGACACACTCGGGGCCTGTCCCTGCCGGCCACTCAGCTGTGAGCCAACTGGAAGACACCAAGCTTCAGTGAGCAAGAAAGCTCAAGGTGCAGAGTCCCTGGGTTCTCAACCCGATGAGAATCCCTCCCCAGTGAGAAGAAAGCTGAGGCTCTCGGTGCTCAACTCCCCTGTACACGCCCCCCAAGTCAGCACAGCTGCCGTGAGGCCCGCTACAGCGGGTGCCTGCGTCACTTCAGAGACCTGCACCGAAATTACGGGATCGTCAATGGAGAGAGACAGGAGGAGCCTTGTGTAAGACCCTTCCTTCTCACAACCCGACTAAGGAAAATTTCACACTTAGTAGAACTACCTTGGGCTGGAAAGCCAACCACCATCACAACTTTTACAGCAACGTGGGATCTGATTTCCACGCACTATTCAGCATACGAACTTTCAAAATGGAGGAAGAAATTTACCTGAAAACTACTACTAGCAAGGTGCGTAACCATGCCTGTACCAGCCACCTCCCCTGCCAGATAAATGGTCAAGTCACGACGGTTGTCTCCGAAATGCCTTCCTGGGTAACTTCTGTATGAGGTTCCCACAGCTCTATTGGGCATGCACCAGCAGGGGCACAACACCCTCAGCTATGACTTGCCAGGATTGGCCTGGGCAGTTAGGATTTAAATACTGAAAACCTGAGTCTAAGGTGAGGCCGTGCAGGTGACTCACCCCCGACACGAGCGCACCTGGGTTTCCACTGAGCCGTGGGGGGGAGCCATGTCCCCACACGTGTTCCACGTCCCCACCCACCAGCTTGGCACTCAGCCTGCCTCCTGGGGCTCCGGCCTCTCCACCCGCTACCCGTCCACACGCTCCTTCGGCCTTCTCACCTCCCTGCCCCTTTTCTGGACTGAAACATCACCGCCTCCGCCCGCCCCAACCCCTTCCTCGCGGTTGTCCGGTTTCTCCGATGTGTCCCTGATAAAAACCATACCTACTTCTGCATCTCGACCCTCATAGTCCAACCTCATTTGCCACATTTCATCCCCGTGTCCAGCTGAACAGACGTCTTTGTCGTTTCCTGCTCCTCGGAGTCTAAATTCACGGATGATGTGCTCCATCCTGAGCTCACAGTCTTCCCCGTGCCCCTGATGCCCAAAACCTGCCCATCCACGAGGATGACTCCACCATTTTCATTAACATCCCAACTGCTCAGCAGGAAGCAATGCCCACCCTGACACTGATTCTCCAATATATTCTTTAAAAAAAAAATTATTATTTTGGCTATGTCAGGATTTAGTTGTGGCACTCCGGGCTTAGTTGCCCTGTGGCATGTGGGATCTTAGTTTCCAGACCAGGGATTGAACCAGTGTCCCCTGCATTGGAAGGCAGATTCTTAACCACTGGACCAGCGAGGAAATACCCAGTGTTTTCTTTCTAAAAAATTTCTTAAGGGACTTAACAGGTTCCACCCTGCATTCGTCTTATCAAGCTCACACACGCCACAAATCCTAAGGGGTGGCTTCAAGCTTTTCTGTTCTCCATAGCACTCATCTACTTCTGCTTCACTGACTCTGCTAAAGCCTTTGACTCTAGTGTAGGAAAAAAAACTGTGGAAAATTCTTAAAGAGATGGGAATACCAAACCACCTTACCTGCCTCCTGAGAAACCTGTATGCAGGTCAAGGACACAGAAAAATGGACTGGTTCAAAATTAGGAAAGGAGTATGTCAAGGCTGTATATTGTAACCCTGCTTATTTAACTTATATGCAGAGTACATTAAGCAAAATGACTGGCTGGTGGAAACACAAGTTGGAGTCAAGACTGCCAGGAGAAATATCAATAACCTCAGATATGCAGATGACACCACCCTTAAAGCAGAAAGCAAAGAGAAACTAAAGAGCCTCTTGATAAAGGTGAAAGAGGTGTTTGAAAAAGCTGGCTTAAAACCCAACATTCAAAAAACTAAGATCCTGGCATCCAGTCTCATCACTTCATGGCAAATAGATGGATAAATAATGAAAACAGTGAGAGACTTAATTTTCTTGGGCTCCAAAATCACTGCAGATGGTGACTGCAGCCATGAAATTAAAAGATGCTTGCTCTTTGGAAGAAAAGCTATGACAAACCTAGACAGCATATTAAAAAGTAGAGTCATCACTTCGCCGACAAAGGTCCATCGAGTGAAAGCTATGGTTTTCCCAGTAGTCGTGTATGGATGTGACAGCTGGACCATAAAGAAGGCTGAACACTGAAAAATTGATGCTTTTGAACTGTGGTGTTGGAAAAGAGTCTTGAGAGTCCCTTGGACTGCAAGGAGATCCAACCAGTCAATGCTAAAGGAAATCAACCCTGAATATTCATTGGAAGGACTGATGCTAAAGCTGAAACTCCAATACTTTGGCCAGCTGATGTGAAGAGCCGACTGACTCATTGGAAAAGACCCTGATGCTGGGAAAGACTGAAGGCAGGAGGGGACGACAGGATAAGATGGTTGGATGACATCACTGCCTCAATGGACATGAGTTTGAGCAAGCTCTGGGAGAGGAAGGACACGGAAGCATAGCGTGCTGCAGTCCATGGGGTGACAAAGAGTCAGACATGACTGAGTGACTGAACTGAACAACAGTAAGAGGCAGAATCTAGACATACATTAATAGCTTTAAACATCATATTATGAATGTGGGAATTCGTTAACTCATTCACCATGTATTTATTGAGCACCTATTCTACAGACAGTAGAAAGTTGGCTACAAATGAACAAATCAATGCTTGCCATTTCAGAGGAAGAATAAATATGCTGTTGTTGTTCAGTCGTTAAGCCATGCCCAACTCTTTGTGACCCCATGGACTGCAGCACACCAGGCTTCCCTGTCCATCACCAACTCCCAGAGACTACTCAAACTCACGTCCATCAAGTCAGTGATGCCATCCACCATCTCATCCTCTGCTGCTCTCTTCTCCTCCTGTCTTCAATTTTTCCCAGCATCAGGGTCTTTTCCAAAAGTCAAATCAGGTGGCCAAAGGATTGGAGTTTCAGCTTCAGCATCAGTCCTTCCAATGAACATTCAGGGTTGATTTCCTTTAGGGTTGACTGGTTTGATCTCCTTGCAGTGCAAGGGACACTCAAGAGTCTTCATAAATATGCAGACACCAAGAATTAAACGAAAAGTGTAAGACATACAACATGCAACATGTTGGACTCTGTACAGATACCAGTGGTTCTGAACAGTCAGATGGGCTGACTTGGGCTTGGGAAGAACGTGACTGTTCCAATTCCTAAGCCTCGACTCTGCCCCTTCGTCCACTGGACTGCAGAGTCCTGGCTGGAGTCCAACAGGCTGGTTCAGTCCTGAGTGCTGCCTAGACAAGGCCAGTGTAAGACCAGGGGCAGCAGGAATGGCCCGGGGAGGGGGTGTCAGAGCCGCTCAGGGCAGGAGGCTGAGCCAAAGACACCGGAACAAATAGATACACGGTGGGTTGGGGGGAAAAAAAATAAGGTGCTTGCTGATTAAAACTTGTGTTTCTAGGAAGAACTCTGATGTGTTTCTACGACAGGTGCATTACGTGTGAGTGCATGCATGAATGAGTGAGAAAAACAAGGTTCTGCACAGCAAGGAAGAAGAATAGCACCCAGAATTTGTTTACACGTCTATTTTAAGACTGTTATCAGGAATTCCCTGGCAGTCCAGTGGTTAGGATTCCACACTCTCACTGAGAGAGCCTGGGTTCAACCCCTGCTCAGGGAACTAAAATCTCACAAGCTGTGTGGTGAGGCCAAAAAAAAGACTTTACTATTATTTATTGTTATTTTTTTAACTGAAATAGGAAGTCAGGTAGTGAGGACAGGTATTAGGAGAGAAGAGGTAAACCAGGGTTCAGCACTCAAGAGTTAAATATTAGAGTAAAAACCTAAGGAACGTGCAAACATGGGGCCAGCTTTCACGCTGGACACTGGGGACAAGGTGGGCATGACAGGTAACAGCCATCACAGCCGTGATGACAGTGATGAAGGAGGCACGCGGGGCACTCAGGGGGCAACGGGAGATGGAGCAGGTGAGAGGGCTTGGGAGACAAAGACGCATTAGACAGAAGCTCGGTCCTCATGACTCACCATTTAGTAAGGAAGATGAAGCATGTAGGTGCCACACGGAAACCCTATGAGCCATAAATAGAACACCATGGAATTGCTCAGAAGAGAGAATCGCCTTCAGTTTGAACACCAGGGAAATCTTTTGCTGACAGGGGATCACGTGGGATGGACCTTTAAAGACGGGGAGGACTCTGCGTTGTGGGAGCGGGTGGAAAGCATCCCGGGACAGGACGGAGGAGAAGGGGAAGCACCTCGGCCAGGTGGGCGGAGGGGGCAGCGGAGGGTAAGAGCTAGAAAGAGAGCCT